CGTTTATATAAAAAATAAATTTTTCATCAGCCTGTGGGCCAGCCATGTGTCATACAGAATTTTTGTCTCACGGCACAAGACTACCAGAAGGCCAGGCCAAAGTTGAATCGTGGCATCGGTGACCCGGTGACGCCAATGACCAGTTTCAAGGAGGTTAACATAGGAGCTTTCGCTACTTTGCAATCTTTGAAAATATTAACTTATTTATTTTTATTTGAAATAGTTTCACAGTCACAAGTCAGTGTTGTTGTGTATGGAAGAATTAAACCACCCCTGAAGTATTACCTATAATATTGTTACGAGCTTGGGGTTCGTGACAATTAAAAACTGCCGAGTGAGTTACCAAAATTGACACTTTAATTACAACTTATAACCACACTAATAACAAAACAATTGTACTACAGATCACTTTAATTCGCAGTTGTATCGCTTCGAAGTATTCTCTTGTATCGCCAATTCAATGCTGACTCGGTCGTGGTCTATACCGGCCTTATATAGGGCCTCGGATAGTTTCCAGAACCTTCTACTGTAGAAACATCTAGTATGTTCGAGTACATATCGGTCCCGAAATTTCTAGAAGGGTCTTGACTCTCCTAGTTCTGCTACTCGGTACTAGATGGTGCTAGTGATAACTAGTGTTGCCATGTACAAGACATTAATAGTGGCGCGCAACAATATAATACCTATTTAAAAAAAAGAATCATCAAAATTCGGCGGCTTCACGGTTTTGATCCATGCAACCGTGGTCCGTGGCAAATTTTGATGATGAGTGGCTCAGCAATTAATTGCAGTACTTACTGCCGCGAGTTCGTATCCCGTACGGAACAAGTATATTTGCAAACTCCCTCCATGATACTGGCGAAAATCTAAGCTCTGCTTCTACGTTTCGTTTGGTGAGTGCAGGTGGCCGGAGGCCCGATACACCCCCCCCCCCCCCCATCAACATGGTAGCGGAATTACACCAAAGACTACCCAAGGAGGGTACCAGCACCCCTGGCGAATCCCTCGCTGAGCATCCACGACCATGTTATTCCACTCCTGAGCGTGGGTCCTCAGGCTGCCCCGCGTATTCTGGTGGGGGGGGAGGGGCCTGGACAAAATCCGCTCAAAAACATAACTGTTCGGGGCAAACTGAACAACAATACCAAGGTGGCCCCTGCCACGCTATCCGTGAATTTCTGCAACATTAGGTTCGAGTGAAGTCCCCTAGACTTCACTCGAACCTAAACGCCGGCCTTGCCCTTTCTGACCGAGACGCAGGTGTCCTCTCCGGCTGATACTTCGTATCTCTTCTACCCGGGGTACAAATTGGAGCACTCCTTTGTGCCTCGAGCTGGAGTTTGCGTGTATGTCAGAGAGGACATCTGTTCTCGACGCCTCGGCAGTCTTGAAGGTTCGGACCTGTCCATCCTTTGGCTACACGTAGACAGCGACGACCATCCGCACGTCTACGGGTGCCTCTATAGGTCCCATAGCGGTAATGCCGAAACAGACCGACTCATCGACCACGTCCAAATGGCTACAGATTCCTTGCTACAACAGGTCCCATCCGCAGAGATCGTGATCCTTGGCGATTTTAACGCCCACCACGCCGAATGGGTCGGTTCACGTTTAACCGATCATGCGGTTCAACCGGATCTGTTAATGACTTTGCCTTGGCATATGGTCTGACACAACCGGTTACTTCGCTTACGCGGATTCCAGATGTGGAGGATCATGCACCTTCCCTGTTGGACCTTCTGCTGCTGCTGCTGGGAACCCGTGCATTCTGGTCTCTCGCCAAGGCTGTCCAAGGGAATTTCTATAAGCCATCACTACCATCTCTGCACAGGGAGGACGACTCACTGACCCAAACCGCAAAAGACAAAGCCGACCTTTTAGGCTCCCTTTTTGCGTTCAACTCGACTCTTGATGACGGGGGGAAAACACCGCCGACCATCCCGCGGTGTGAGTGCTCCATGCCGGATGTGCGGTTCTCACAGCGCTCGGTTAGCAAAGCACTCCTCTTCCTGGACATCCACAAGTCGAGTGGGCCTGACGGAATCCCCCCAATTGTGCTGAGGACGTGTGCTCCGGAGTTGGCACCGGTCCTAACGTGTCTTTTCCGGTACTCCTACTCCCTAGGCGTAGTCCCGAAATCATGGAAGACAGCTTTTGTCCACCCGATCCCTAAAAAAGGCGACCGCTCAGACCCGTCCAACTACAGGCCTATCGCCATCACCTCCTTGTTCTCCAAAATAATGGAATCCATTATTAACTGCCAGCTCATGCGGTACCTTGAGGATTACCAGCTGATTAGTGACTGCCAATACGGTTTTCGTCGGGGTCGATGAGCTGGTGATCTTCTGGTCTACCTGACTCATAGATGGGCGGAGGCAGTAGAGTCCAAGAGGGAGGCGTTGGCCGTTAGACATTGCGAAGGCCTTCGATCGGGTTTGACACAAAGCGCTTCCTTCTAAGCTCCCTTCCTATGGGCTTCCCGAGAAATTGTGCAATTGGATCACCAGCTTCCTTGCAGATCGGAGCATCAAGGTCGTTGTAGACGGTGCATGCTCCGGCTACAAGCCTATTAACGCTGCTGTTCCACAAGGCTGTGTGCTATCCAGTGAAGTAGTGTGCCTTAGAGGGGCCCTGTATCAAAATTTGTCGGGGGGCCCAAATGAAGGGTAAAGATTTTTCACAAAAGGAACAAAAAAATTATATATTGATTATAAGTTATTACTTACAATTAATACTCCAAGGAACAAAGCTATCTAAACAATTCAAACCAACATCCTGTCCCATAGAAGTCCTTAGAATTTTTGCTTACATACGTTCGGGGCCTCTGTAGCCCGGGGTCCCTTATCATTGAAACGGCTAATACGGCGGTAGCTAAGCCCCTGGTGCTATCACCAACGTTGTTTCTTCTGCATATCAATGATATGTTGCTAACTGGTAACATTCATTACTATGCGAATGACAGCACTGGTGATGCTCTATACACCGGCCGTGCCAATATTTCTCGGGAAAACGTCGCCGAGTACCGGAACAAACTTGTGTCTGTAGTCGAGTCTTTGCTGAACAAAGTCTCGGATTGGGGGCGACTAAATCTAGTCCAGTATAATCCTCAGAAGACACAAATTTGCGCGTTTATCGCTAAAAAGAACCCCTTTTTCGTATCTCCTCAGTTTCAAGGCACTCCCCTTCTTGCCTCAGCCAGTATCGGAATCCTTGGAGTCGACATATCGACTGACGTGCAGTTTCGTGGTCACTTGGAAGAGAAGGACAAATAGGCCTCTAAAAGCTTGACGTGCTCAGCAGAGCGGGACAGTATTTCATGCCAGCACACCGTCTGCAACTTTACAAGGCGCAGGTTCGGCCTCACATGGAATACTGTTCCCATCTCTGGGCTGGGGCTCCCCAGTGCCAGCTTCTTCCACTTGACCGCATCCACCGCAGAACGGCTCGAATCTTCGACGACCGAGTCCTTTCCGATCGGCTCGATTCATTGGCACTGCGAAGAGATGTTGCATCCCTTTGCATTTTCTGTCGCATCTACCACGGGAGTGCTCTGAGGAATTGTTCGGATTAATCCCAGCCGCCAAATTTCACGAACGCTCATCGCGGCGGAACTCCCGATACCATCCACGCCATCTGGATGATTGGCGGTCCACCACTGTGCGATTTAGATGTTTTCTTCGTCGCACGACTTCCTTGTGGAATCGATTACCATCAGCGATTTTTCCGGACCGATACGACTTAGGGACCTTCAAGAAAAGAGCCTACTCCTTTTTAAAAGGCCGGCAACGCATCTGCAATTCCCCTGGTTTCCCTGGTGTTGCAGTTGTTCATGGGCGGCGGTAGTCACTTACCATCAGGTGAGCCGCATGCTCGTTTGCCCGCTCTCCTATAAAAAAAAGAAAAGATAAAAAAGAAAAAACTCGGTTTAAAATTGACGAATATATCGCGTTACATTCAAAATAAAATAAAATAGCAGTCCAATTATAAATCTCCTCCCTTTTTTTGAAGTCACTAAAATAGAACTGTTAGCTACTGGCTAATAGGTTCCCGTAGCGATGATAGTACGGACTGTAGGTGGGTAAATTTGTTTTCACTTTTTTTTCCATCTTTATTATTTCACACTGACACTTCCAACTACAGACTGATTGGTCGTACTGACTGACGCGTACATGAACACTCACGCTACGAATGGTTTGCTGAAGTTTTCATTTAAACTTCGACTAAACTATATAAACTATGTAAGGATCGCTGTGCGACCAACCAAACACGATTACAACCAGCTATATTTCCGGACCGATACGACTTAGGGACCTTCGAGAAAAAAGCCTCTTTTTAAAATGCCGGTAATGCGCCTGCGATTCCGCTGATGTTACAGTAGTTCATAGGCGGCGGCAGTCACTTACCGTAACGTGAGCTGCATACTAGTTTGCTCCCCATTATATGTATATAGAAAAAATCAATTCATAATCGAAGCTATCTTATACGACTGAACTTCGCGAGATCATCCGTATGACTGTCGATATGTGAATGGCTTCAAACATATACACTATATTGCTACGACGCTACAAAAGGTAAAAGTATTAGAATTTAGTAAGAATTGATAATGCATTAAAATTAAATAAACTGCAACTCTATCAAAATATTTTATTAAAAAAGACAAATAAATAAGGCATTGAAAGGTATTTATATTATTTACAAAATCACATTTGTAATTATATAAGTGGTCTAAATTCATATTGCTTACTTCTGCAATATTTACAAATTATGCAATTTATACATACTGCACTTAACATCAATTAAGGAGTTCTTTACAATCTCAAATACCTTCAAAAAAGAAAGAAGTTGTATGAATGATGACAATTAATCCTGATTTGTTTTTTACAAAAAAATCTCTGCAATATTAAATAAAAAAAAAAGATTTACTGTCAATTAATTTACACGTGAAAAAAAATATTTTGTTAATAAAAATTTTTTATTAACTAAATAATTTTTTTTTCACGTTACATTAGTTTAAGAGTTTCCACGGCTTTATTTAGCCGCTCTAACTCGCCTTGAGATTGTGAAAGTTTTTCGGTGTTACTTTTCTGAACTTCAGTGGGCACTTTGACTGTATAGTCTTCTGCCGTCATTGCTTGTTGCAACTTGCTTATGGTTTGTGATAGTGCTTCTTTCTTCTTTTCAATCTTGGCAATCTCTTTTTGGGGGTCGATAAGGCCCTGTGAAACATATTAGTTATAATCGTGTTTCTTAGAATAAAATATATCTTAGTTATTTTATTTATGCGAATTAATTTTATCCATATTTGGTAAAATTTATTGATATTAATAAAATAACTTTATATCTGTATGTAGAGGATCATACTCGTATATAATGATCGATTAGTATTAAAAATAGCGTAATGCAATATGGCTACTAAGTTATTTTCTGTCTCTACTCACAATAAACAAATGACTAAAATTGTAATGAAATTTACACTTCTTTGTTCAAACAAAGAATAAATAGATACTAGCTGTCTATTTTATCTTATTAGTTACAGCTATATTATCATCTTATTATTTTTACATTATTATTAATACAAACATGTAAATAACACCGTTTTCACGGTTTGGTTATGTAGTGGTGGTGTAAAAATATCCAATACCCCTTTTCTCATCGTGTGGGTATAGTAAGAAGATACAGAGGCAAACTGAAACAGAAGATTGTCAGCAGCACCTTTCTGATAATAACTAAAATAATAAAGAATTATGGCTGCTAACCCGCTTAGCAAGCGTGACAGCTATAGCTAAATTCATCCTATAAGGCAATCTACGAAGAGGCCTATGTTTAGCGGTGGACTTTTATGGGCTGTAAAGGATGGATGCATGTAAATAACATTTACTTAATCGATTTTAGAAGAATTCAAAGTTTGAATCTGTTTTACAAGATAACGATAAGAGTCCTGTTTAAAACAAAATATATATTTTTATTCCAAATCCACAAAAGACACATCTTCATTCAATTCAAAAAAGACAAATCCACATGTGTCATGACATAATTAACCCAAAGCCAACGACTACCAAAACTAAAGTGATTTTTCAATTATAAGTCACACAAAATCACAAAACGAACTTTTAAAACAATCTGATCTAATTAATAATATATAAACTTTTTAATATTTTTTTTTATCAATATAACAAATCAAAACAATCGGAACAACTTGCAAAAATTTGTTAAACAAGAATAACTCTACTGTACTTCGAGCACAATGAAAGGGACACATAGACATGCGAGAGCGAGAGCGAGTATCGACGAAAGTTCCTCAAAGAAAGTTTTATAAAAAACGAAGTTATAGTCCACCTGATGATAAGTCGCTACTACAGTCCATGAACACCTGCAGCCAACTTCAAAGAAGGCTACAGATATGTTGGCACCCATGAGGAGGAGGAGGAGGAGGAGGAGGAGGAGGAGGAGGATAGAAATCCTCACAGCCTGTAATTATACCGTCTCTCTATACCCATCAGACCGGAACACAGCAGTGCAAGCTATTTGGATGCAGAAATAACATAAGTGATTGAATTAAATTATAAACTAATTTCAAACGTCATCCAAAATTCAGCACATACGTTCACATGATGTGCCATGCCTATGTTATGGTTGTAGCACTAATGGGTCGACTCGACCGGAGGAGGACCACGCTCTCATAGAAAACCAGCGTAAAATGCTTCAAGCTGCTGTGTTTCGTATGGTGAGTGTAGAGAACCGGAGACCCTTTTTACTGGATACAAGGCATTCCATCTTCGTCCTCACGGGTGACAACGCATCTGCATTTTGATTCGTAATCGAAGATAGATGTGGATGTTTATGGGCCACAGCAACCACTTACCATCAGGTGGACTGTGTGCTCGTTTGTCACCCTTGTTCTATACAAAAAAAAAACATACATTAATTACCCCGGAAACATTAATATACAGGATTATTTAGCAATAACCGGCCAAATTTGCAGAGAAGGTTAAAAATAAGTAATATAGGCAAATGGTGAATAAAAATTAATTTAAAAAACTCTTTTAAATTCAAAAAGCATGCAAATTTTTTATAAATTTGTACTTAGTTGTGTTGTATCAATGGTTTGTTTTAAAGTAAAGTAATAAATAAATAAGTTAAAAAATTTAAATATGTAAGTACCTTCAACACCAAATGCACTTCGATTTTATCAGACACTGTAAGAATGGAACATCCAATTGGTGGTTGTTCATCACTTAATTCAGTGTTAGCAAGAGATTGCAGACTTCTAAACAGACTCCTTAATTCCTCCACTTTGAGCTCTGGGGAAATGATCAGATGTGCTGTCGTCTTCTGCTTGTTGGTTAAATTGTATTCAGAACGAGTGGAACGGATGAGGTGCACCATTTTTAAAACTGTTTCAACATCGGACTCCAGTTGCTCTGAGCGCCAGGGAGTGTCCGATTCCTGCAAAATTGTAGGACATTTTATATCTCATACAACAAAAATAATTTAAAACAATAACGACTATATTATTTTATATGATAAAATTTTTATATAAAATTGAAGTGACACATGACCTAACAACCTTCGTTTGTCACTACCGTTGTAAAGTCATTTGTCATTTCATTTACTCGAAATCAGCGACAAAGATGTTATTTGAGCAATACTTACAGTAGGGTAACTGGCTACACATATGGACGGACACGAAGTATCAGCTCTGGGCAGCCGTTGATACAACTCCTCGGTAACGAAAGGCATGAACGGGCTAAGCAGCTTCAGCCCGTACTCCAACGTGGTGTACAGAGTCCTTCTAGCTGCTTCTTTCTCGGAGTCAGTGCCAGCGGCGAAAACGGGCTTGAGATACTCCTATAAAATAATTATACCAATTATTATAGATGGTATGGCCATGTATCGGTCTAGGTCGCCATCTAGTTTGGTTCCACTTATAATAATAATAGTGTCCTCCAGACCGAATTTCGATCACAGCGGCCAGTATCAACAGAGACTAACCATCTGCACAGGACAGGATTATAATGCACGAGTGTATGCACAAGCACAGGTGCATTCTCTATTCCTTAACTTTAATAGTCTAATGGGTACGGTAATCCGACACGACCGGAGAGAGATCAGGCGCAGGAACAACGGTTTTACGCGCTTTCCGAGGCACGGGAGTTAAACACTGATCACTTAGGCCTGTATTAATAAACGTTACTCAGCTCAACTACACGCACTTGAGTACAATCTTGAGCTTATGATCTTATTAATAAACATAGCTCAAGATGAGGTTTAGGTTTACGATATCAGCTGAGTGCCAGACTGATTAATAAACGAAACTCGACTCTCAAGTGTGTGTACTTGAGTGCAAGTCACAGAACAGTATTTCTAAGTACAGCGTTTTGAGATACTGTTATTACGTGTTTATTAACCTCTCAGACCTTGACATTTTATTGGACATATTTAGTTAGAACTATGGTCAAGCCAAAGAGTATAGTAGGTCAGGCCAGACGATTTTTTAAAAAAATGGTAAAAATAACTTAGAGTCAATACTATGTTCATATCCAAAAATAAAAAAATTATCAACAATTAAAATATCGAATTATTTATATGAAGGTCAAGTGAGCGCTAGAGTGACGACGATTGCAAGACGATTTGTCGATAAATTAAATGTTTCGAGAAATTATCAATTACTGTGTAGTGGCGGTGTATGAATATTCATACTATTCCGTGGGTTTCGTAAGAGGCGACTGATCCACTGTTCAATACAACAAGGTACGTGTACCGTGGAACAGAACGTGGCAACTATGACAAGTATACCCTCTATGAGGAATATAGTGGAGGCCTATGTTCATTGGGGGTTTTTATAGGATGTAACGGTCCATCACCAGCAGTGGAATGAAACTGTAAGGAGAGGGAGGGATTAATTTTATTATTTAAAAAAATATTTTTGTGTTTTTATTTTTATAGAAGAGGGGGCAAACGAGCATGCGGCTCACCTGATGGTAAGTGACTACCGCCGCCCATGAACAACCGCAACACCAGGGGAATTGCAGATGCGTTGCCGGCCGTTTAGAAAGGTGTAAGCTCTTTTCTTGAAGGTCCCTAAGTCGTATCGGTCCGGAAAATCCGCCGGTGGTAAACAATTATGTGTAAAAAAGTCATCAAACAGCATCAAACAATTTATTAAACAAAAGTTGCGTAAACAAGTTCAATGGTTAAAACAATATTAAATAACAAAACCAAACAATTCTACTGAAAAGAAAAAAACGTAAATATTATTTCACTTTTACAACTAAGGCAAATCTAACGAATCGCTATATTATGTTAAATCGAATAAATATTATGAAGAAAGAAACAAGGACATAGAAACACTTGATTTTCATAAAGAAAAGAAATATATAATATAATTATATCGATAAACTCAGTAGAAGCCTCAAAAAAAATTAAATCACAGGTATATACTTGTACATCCGTAAGATAGCGTAATAAAGTATATACTTTATTACGCTATCTTTGAGCAACGCCATTTTTCTAACGACTTCAAACAGGAGAAGGAAGTCGACTGTGTTTTTTTATGTGTGTTACCTCATAACCTTCTGGGTGAACTGATTTCGATGATTCTTTTTTTATTTGAAAGCTGGTGCTTCACATTCACATTTTTATTTTTAGTTATTGTTGAAAACAACTTCGCCATAATGTTCACTATATATCGATATTATAACATAAAACGTAATTTTCGCGCATTGGACTTTGTGGGATATGAAAATTTGTGTTTATTACATGATTTATTGTGATAACTCACACTTTTTATTTACTTTTCAGTTAATTCTGGCTATTAAATATAGTGATACGTGAACGACACAGTATTTGAAATGGCAATTTTATAAAATATATGAAATTGTTACGAAGCAAAATATAAGGAATTAAATTTTAAAACAGTGTAATTACTTACCATTTGTATAAAAACTAACAAAAAACTTTCTATTGTACCCACTTAATTTTTTGTAAAATTTCTAGTTGCCTCTTACACTCACGCGGCGAAGGATATAAGACTAAAGTATGTGACGTAAACGCGATGCGAGGCGAAAACTCGTCATTTGAAGTAAATTCTGTTAATTTAAAGAAGCGTAATTTAATAACGAAACTAATTCTAATAAAATTTTAGTTTTATAGTTCATCTAAATAACATTTAAAAAATAATTGTTATGAGCACAATAACTATGGTTCTGACTAAACGTAGTGTAGTGATCATATACTCTTTGGTTCTGAGGGGTCCTTTCTAAATATTACCATACTCTTTGAAGCGTTCTACAAAGTTGACCTTGGATTGCCTCATGTGTACTTCAAAGGCTTGACAGATTAATTAGCAACGATCTTGACATGCTGATATCGTTATGAGGGCGTATCAAATGATTACGCACTTGAGTTCGCCGTTGAGTAAGGTTTATTAATACGGGCCTTAATTCCTGACATCGGGCTGCTACTGAGAATTTCTTTATAGAAAACCCTCGAACTTCTACTTTGGTTCTCTTTGGGTTTGTTTAAAAAAAATACGCGCTATTTACAAACACGCTTGGGGTTAAGGAAAACTTGGGGTTGAGGAAATCTGCATGCCTGAGGAATAAAATATTTTAAAAACGAGACTAAAAACGTGAATACGCACTAAATTAGCAAGGCGGGATAATTGCTCCATAATCACAATCATTGACCGCCTCGTTGTTCTAGCGATCGTAGACGCGATTTCTGATCATGAGTTCCCGGGTTCGATTCTCTGGTTGGGCCAAAATCAATGATTGGGTTGGAGCTTGATTTATATTTTCACTTTTACACATTATTCCAATCGTAACTTGTAACTATATGAAATTAATTTTACGGATTCTATCGCCTGTAATTTTAACATTTTAATTTCCGACGTTTCAGGTGCTTTACAGTACCCATTGTCACGGAGGGGGAGGGGGGAGGGGGGCTGAGGTGTTTGACGTACCGAAGCATAGTTGGCCCGGCTACCTTCAGTTTTGAATATTACTTTACCTTTAAAAACACATTTGAAGGTATGTTTATATAAAATCTCATGCTTAAATGAACAAAGTATAGTATAGTGTCATAACTTATAATGTATCACATACAGTGCATTTTTTTTTCTTTTTACCAAGTTCGTATAATATATAAACTCACCAAATAAACGTCGCACAGGTCGTAAAGCCACAGATTATAACAATGCGTGGTGGCGGACGGGAAGTCGTAGTTCCGGAAGCCGGCGTTCACCTTCTGCACTGCTAACGACAAACGCGACAGCATCCACTGGTCCATTGGGAACAGAGCTGGAAGACTAGGTGTGTGCACCTGGAAACCAATGTATTCGTACATTATCTGTTTGTTAGAAGGTAAATTTACATCATAATATTAGCTGAACTGTTTAATAAAATCGCTCAAGATCGCTCAGCGAGCTACGGAAAGGGTTATGCTTGAAGTTTCTCTTCGTGCTAAGATTTCGTAATGACACAGAAGAAATAATATTACTACATACAGAAGTTGCTCTCCTTTGTTGTTGACTGCTTGCCGACGTTTTAATAGTCTACACAATTATTATTAATTTGATAAAACACGTCCACAAGCTAAATTAAACCTTATCACTGCGCGCGAGTGTCCTTTAGGCTTTGCATCTTCTCTGCTTCCTACGTCACGCACGATATATCGTGGTTACCAAGGGCTTTCATTTCTTTTGATTATTTATTTAATTTACAACTGTGTACATTTTAATATAATGTTTTATATTTTTTTACCGTATCTAAGGGAAAACATTGACACGAAGTCATAAAATTTATATTCGTTAAAAATTGTTGTAAATTATAAGCTGGTTTTATCATTATTATGTTTTAAAAACTGTAAATGTATGTATTTTCTATATTATACATATAAATTACACTAAAACATAAACAACTATTTTATCATACCTAAATATACTAAATAATAAACAAAAATATTTATACAAATATTTATAAAAAATCTTTCTGCATAAATAGTTTTAAAAAAAACTTTGATATTCTCTACCACGCTCACCTAAAACGCGCTAGCCCTGACTGTGTATGTATAACAGTGGTACCTACTACCAGACTCCTAGAAAAAAAAAACTAAGCCCTGCTATTTAGTAGGTAGGTTAAGCAAATGTTAATACAGCACCTTAAACGTGGTGTCCTTGGGGAAGTACATGAGCGCGAACTTGGTGGCGTTCCAGAGTTTGTTGCAGAAGAATCTGTAACCCTGCACCCGCAGGATGTCAAGGTTCAAGTCGCGCCCTTGCGTCATTGCACACAGCGCAAACCTGAATTGTATTCATACAATATTTAATATAGTTGATATTTATATTTTGTTACACAACGAGAGAAGTCTTGTGCACAGTGGCGGGATTTATATGGGTAATTTTTAACCGAATACGGCAAATACCAAAAGTATTTGACTGAAATGTATTTTATATAAATTCCTTTTCATACACGTTAGTAATCTAGGCTTGGTATTTTAACAGATATCTCAAGTGATGTGTTATAATTACGCATAAAAAAATATTACAGATATGAACAAAATAATGAAAGTTTATTTAAAGGATACATGTCACTAATTTGCAAATGCCGTATATCCAATGTTAAATAGATTGCGGTGGTCTCATCACGGATCAGGCATTGTAAGTGACGAAAAAAATTATTTTTCTATATAAAAATATAAACTAATAACTACTTTACAAAACTAGTTGCATTCCGCAGCTTCACCTGATTCGTCGTGAAAGTCGTGATGCAAAGGCTTGTGAAAATTATGTAGGTACCTACCTAATTTTACTATATTTTACCTGTATAGCAGTATCTCAGGTATTCTGCTTAAAATATTGGATAGGGAGTTGAACAGAATAAATACAAGTGGTAAAATTAAATATTTTATACAACCGACTTCAATATAAATTATTAAGGATAACCCAAAAACTACTGGTCAGAGTTTGATGAAAATTATTGGTCCCAAATAATTTTCATCTCATTTCAACATGAGAAGCACCAGCATTTAAATAAAAATAGAATATTTGAAATCGGTTCACCGAGTAAAAAGTTATAAGGTAACACACCTTTAAAAAAAATTACAGTCGATTTGAATACCTCCTCCTTTTTGAAGTCGGTTAAAAACAGGTTAAAATTATACATTGGTTCTGTTTATTCAACCACCTCGTTACAGATGTACAACCGACAAATATTTACGACGTTTATTATTGCTTTTTTATTTTAAATGTCTTTTGTTGAATTTAATGATATAAGGAATTCTCATCCTTACGTCTTGATCTTACCTCATTCAATTAAAATCGTGATGGAAAGCAATCACATGGTTATTAGAATTCAATTTTATTTAAAGCGTCGTACAATTTTTCCCAATATTTCAAAATAATACCGAGTTGCTGGGTGAATACCAAACGCGTACAACTGATTGTGTGGGTGACACTCCTTCCTTGGTTACAAAAAGATACTCTGTGACACTCCTAAATGGGCGTACCGGTACGTAAGCGAAGCCGACTGGTATTGCCGCAGACGTCTCTGGTAGGAGGGGGGATTACGCTCTCTTTCAACCGCGCCCCATCCTTGCTCCGTCTAGTCGCCGAATTGACTCACTATCAGTATTTATTACACATATGCCACTATTATGCCAAATATACCTTCTACTATGAGGCAATCTATGTACATATGTGAACTTGAGGTAAATTAAACGTGGACTTATTTACACAATCTCAAAGAAGCCAATAAATAAATAATAGTGACACCACGTTAAGAATGGATGCTAGTCTGAAGCTATCTCACCTCAACGCGTCAGTGCCGCACTCCGGTATACCGTTGGGGTAATCTTGCTTCTGTCCCTGCTTGGCCTTCTCCACCTCCTTGGGGTCGAGGTTCGATTCCAGGAGCTGTGCGTGAAGCTGTTCCAGGGTGACTCCTCGCACAACATCCACCGGGTCGATCACGTTGCCCAAGGACTTGGACATCTTGCGGCCGTGAGCGTCGCGTACCATCGGGTGAAGGTATACTTCCCTGTAAAGTAAAAAGTATTATAATGTCATGTCCCCTGTGCAGAGCATGTATGAGGGTGGAGGAAACGGCAGCCCACATGTTACTGGAATGTCCGGAGGTCGCTGCATACAGGGCTAAACATTACAGCAACCCGGGATCACTCCCCGAAGTTGCTCGCAACATCAAAGGACTGTTGAACTTCTTCGGGGAGATTCCATGGCTCGAATTATAACAGTATTCCTGCCCACACGCAAAATACGCGCTTAGCCATAGAGTTGCAGAAAATAGCCCGTCGTAATCCAATCTACTCTAATGTCATGATATTATATATATATATATATATATATATATATATATATATATATATATATATATATATATATTATTACCATGGTATTTTATGCGTGGTAGAGCCACGCTGCAGTTGCTAACATTTATTAATTGTTTCTCAAAAATATTTTACAATCCTAATAAAAAGCAAAAGATGTAAAGTTTTTTCTCAAAAATTTTATAAGACACCCTGAATTATAGTAGGGCCAATTTAATAGATCACATTTGACATTTGTCAGTTTTAGCTTTATAGTGAGGTGACTTAAAAACATTTATTTATTTATTATTTATTTATTTACACACACATACAACATACACAATCATTACAGGGTGAGTACCCTAATTCGACAGTGTAGCCAACGATACAGTATGATATGCCATTTTACTGAGCTCACTCAGCGAACATGAAAATAAATCCGTTCGCTCCGACATGGTGTTGATCACACGCAGCGCGACAACATCGACTAACTGAATAGGTACTGTAATTTTATATAAAAGAATAGCAGTCGAATCCCTGTCCCATCATTATTTTCTATCGTAAATTTAAGGAACAAAATAAGGCAAGTACATAATTTAACAAAAAATAGCATTTATTCAGCTGAACTATCAGAACTGGATATATATATATACAATACTTGTTACACTGTCATCATCACTGCTGTCACCATACACAGATATTATTAATTCATTTTCAATAACATTGTCTATATTCACATCTCGTTCAAAATCTTGTAACATTATTTCCTTTGTTTTCTCCACGACCTTTCTTCAGTCTTCTGTAGTGACTTCTGCACAGGCAGTTTGTAGCAGAGTCAGCAATTTAGCAGTACTGAAGGGTGGTTCAGTATTGTTTCCCGATTCATGACCGTTTATTTGTGCTCAAATAAACTCAATAACGTTGTACTGGCAATGGTAGGGGGTTCAATAGTCTTACCAACCACGAGACAATTTCTTGCTTTTTATTTGCTCGAGTTGGTGATTTGTCAACTTGTACAAAATGATACGATGCATTGTCCATAATAATTTTCGATTGGGTTTCTAAGCTGACTAGCAGCTTCTCAAACCACTCTTTAAAAACCTCAAAGTTCATTTCCTCATGGTAATCACTTGTAGTTTTCGACGCGAATGCGAGGAGGCTGTCTGGTATAAAATCTTGAGAAGCTGATCCCGCGTGATATATAATAAGACGGGCTCCTTTTCCCGATGAAACTTTTTAGGTGGAGGCCGCTGTATCATCGGTCCATGACCGCGAAACCGTATGGTTTGCATTCAACCATGTTTCGTCAATAAACACGACATTGTCCCAATCTTTAATTTTATTTACTTGGCGTAAGAATGTTACTCTCTTCAAAATAATATGGTACCGTGCCAGCAGGGCTTTCCGCTAGTTAGATTTTTTAAAACTAAAGCCAATCGATTTTAAAACCTTAAATAGAGACGATTTACCGCCAAAAAATAAGCCTGCCTCTTTTAAGCCTGCCTCTTTTGACGAACCCAATAGCTTTTTCAGTGTAGGATATCCTTTTCTCGAATAATATCCATAAATGTGGTTGCGAATTGCAGCAGCATCAAAATTATCAACGCCAACAATTTTCTTGTTCCTCTTTCTTTTTTTCGGTGTACGTAAAGTATTATCTTCTGAGCCTGATGGACCATATTTCTCTTTGATAATTTGAGTGACTGTTCTCTTCCCTATTCCTAATGCTTTGGCAACACGTTCTCTCAGTTTTATCAATGATAAAAGAGGCGCATCGTTAACTGATTCACGTTCAAAATAATTGTACAATTTCACCACTAGTTCGCGAGATTGACTGTTTAGTGTTTTTTCTCGTTTCGACATGGTAAAACAAGACTGTTGTCTGTTGTTCTTGTTTACTAATCGTTAAGCAATCGGAGTCCAATTTATAGCCAGGTAAACGTCAAAGTAAAATCAGTCCAATAGAAAGCCGGGTCAAAAGAAAATAACAGAGAGCACACCATAAACGCACCGCACAGCCACTTCGCACAACGACAAAAGACTGCGTCATGTAATGGCGACATGACAATTATTTTTGTATTTTTTAATTAATTAAAAGAATAAGATGTTTGATTATTATCACAATGTGGTTATTCTTTTATGGTGAAATATTCCTTCACAAGTACATACATAATCACTGCATTCGAATTTCAATTTATTTAGGCAACATCCCTAGTGCTTAAAAAGAAAAAGGGTTCACAGACGCAACCAGGGGGATGAAACTGCCATACAAATTTACAAGAATAAAAAATGCATTGATAATACACTATATGCCCTGGCATATAGTGTATTATCTATGGACGCAACATTGTAACGACGTTCAGTTCTCTTTAGAACAGAAATTGTTTATTATATTTAATCGTTTATTAGTGAAATTAAATTGTAAATTTACATTCTTTTGTCATAATTACAATAAATATGTAATCGTAATTGAAAAAAGTTAAGCAATTGTGCAGTTCTAACTTCGAAAAAATAAATAATATTTTATTTATTTTTTCGTTTCAAGGTTACGTTGTTGAATTTTGATGAAATGTCAAATGTGATCTATTAAATTGGCCCTATTATAATAACCTATTAAATGAAAAAGAATCATTAACATCGTTTTACAATTGACGAAAATATCGCGTATATAGCGTGGTAGAGCCATGCTACAGCTAGTATGGTTGAAGCACGAATGAGTCGGCTCGACCGGGTAAGAACCATGCTTTTACTGAATACCAACGTAAAATATCAGCTTAACACTGCTTTGTTTTGTAAGGTGAAAAGAACCGGAGACCCTTATTACTGGAAATGAAGCATTTCATTTTTTACCGACTTCAAAAAGGAGACGGTACTCAATTCGACTGAATGTTTTTTATGTGTTACATCATAACTTTTACTGGTTGAACCGATTTCGATGATTCTTTTTTATTTGAAAGCTGGTGCTTCACATATGGTCCCATATAAATTTGATCAAGGTCTGACCAATAGTTTTTGAGTTATTCTTAATAATTTATATTAAAGTAATCCAATAAAAAAAAGTCGGTTGTACAAAATTTTTAATTTTAAGTTATTGTCCTGTAGAGTGACAACGCATCTGCATTTTAAATCTTAATTGAAGATAGATGTAGTTGCCTATGGGGTACAGCATCCAGTTACCATCAGATGGATTGTGTGCTCGTTTGTCACCCGTAGTCTATAAAAATAAGCGTAAGGCCCTTCATACATTATGATGCTAACAAGATACGATACTTCGATCGGATACCGGTAGAATATTTGTTCGCTATTCGCTAAATCACCATTTCGTATGATACATCACTGTTGAGTAAAGCTCGTTTTTAATACTATCATTATATCGAGTGATTCTTACTTTGTAGTGGCGATATCCACTACCCCATATCATCCCATGGGTGAGATAGGCAGCAGCGTCTTCTTAATAATGACTAAAATTAAAAAACTGCAGTTGGCGACCCCTGCCACGCTATCCGTGAATTTCTGCAACATCAGGGGACTTCACTCGAACCTAAACGCCGTCCACTACCATCTCGAGACGGCGAAGCCGGCCTTGCTCTTTCTGACCGGGACGCAGGTGTCCTCTCCGGCTGATACTTCATATCTCTCCTACCCGGGGTACAAATTGGAGCACTCCTTTGTGCCTCGGGCTGGACTTTGCGTGTATGTCAGAGAGGTCATCTGTTCTCGACGCCTCGGCAGTCTTGAAGGTCCATCCTTTGGCTACGCGTAGACAGCGACGACCATCCGCGCAACTACGGGTGCCTCTATAGGTCCCATAGCGGTAATGCCGAAACAGACCGACTTATCGACCACGTCCAAATGGCTACAGATTCCTTGCTACAACAGGTCCCATCCGCAGAGATCGTGATCCTTGGCGATTTTAACGCCCACCACGCCGATTGGCTCGGTTCACGTTTAACTGATCATGCGGGGGGAGATCTGTTTATGACTTTACCTTGGCATATGGTCTGACACAACTGGTTACATCGCCTACACGGATTCCAGATGTTGAGGATCATACACCTTCCCTGTTGGACCTTCTGCTGACCTCTCATCCGGACGGATATCAGCTTTCCGTCGATGTCCCTCTTGGCTCTTCGGACCATTGTCTGATCCGGAGTGGGGTGCCGCTCAAGCTCCCCTCGCGGTTGCGTTCTGCAGGTTGCCGCCGTGTTTGGCATTACAGGTCGGCGGATTGGGACGGAATGCGGTCTTTCTTTGCTTCCTACCCATGGGGGCGGGTTTGCTTCTCGCCGGATGATCCCAGCGCTGTTGCTGACTCTGTCACTGATGTGGTGCTACAGGGAATGGAACTATTTATTCCATCATCTGTGGTACCCATCGGAGGCAGATCTCAGCCTTGGTTTGGTCGCTCCTGTAAGACTGCATTACGCAGTAAGCAGGAGTGTTATCAAGCCTGGGCTGCGACTTCGGCGACTCGGGATGTAAACACCAGCACACTTAAAAAGAAGTATAACTTCGCCTCCAGGTCCTTCAAAAGAGTTATTGCCAAGGCAAAGTCAGAGCACATAGGCAGAATTGGCGAGAAACTAGTTCGCCTTCCTTCGGGAACCCGTGCATTCTGGTCTCTCGCCAAGGCTGACCAAGGGAATTTCTGTAAGCCATCATTACCATCTCTGCACAGGGAGGACGGCTCACTGGCCCACGACGCAAAAGAGAAAGCCGACCTTTTAGGCTCCCTTTTTGCGTCCAACTCGACTGTTGATGACGGGGGGAACACACCGCCGACCATCCCGCGGTGTGAGTGCTCCATGCCGGATGTGCGGTTCTCACAGCGCTCGGTTCGCAGAGCACTCCTCTCCCTTGACATCCACAAGTCGAGTGGGCGTGACGGAATCCCCCCAATTATGCTGAGGACGTGTGCTCCGGAGTTGGCACCGGTTCTAACGCGTCTTTTCCGGTACTCCTACTCCCTAGGCGTAGTCCCGAAATCATGGAAGGCAGCTTTTGTCCACCCGATCCCTAAAAAAGGCAACCGCTCAGACCCGTCCAACTACAGGCCTATCGCCATCACTCCCTTGTTCTCCTAAATAATGGAATCCGTTATAAACTGCCATCTCATGCGGTACCTTGAGGATCACCAGCTGATTAGTGACCGCCAGTACGGTTTTCGTCGGGGTCGATCAGCTGGTGATCTTCTGGTCTACTTAACTCATAGATGGGCGGAGGCAGTAGAGTCCAAGGGGGAGGCATTGGCCGTTAGTTTGGACATTGCGAAGGCCTTCGATCGGGTTTGGCACAAAGCGCTCCTTTCGAAGCTCCCTTCCTATGGGTTTCCCGAGAAATTATGTAATTGTATCACCAGCTTTCTTGCAGATCGGAGCATCAAGGTCGTTGTAGAAGGTGCATGCTCCGACTACAAGCCTATTAACGCTGGTGTTCCACAAGGCTGCGTGCTATCACCAACGCTGTTTCTTCTGCATATCAATGATATGTTGCAAGCCGGTAGCATTCAGTGCTATGCGGATAACAGCACTGGTGATGCTCTATACACCGGCCGTGCCAATATTGCTCGGGAAAACGTCACCGAGTACCGGAACAAACTTGTGTCTGAAGTCGAGTCTTTGCTGGACAAAGTCTCGGATTGGGGGCGACTAAATCTAGTCCAGTTTAATCCTCAGAAGACACAAATTTGCGCGTTTACCGCTAAAAAGAACCCCTTTGTCGTATCTCCTCAGTTTCAAGCTACTCCCCTTGTGGCCTCAGCCAGTATCGGAATCCTCGGCGTCGACATATCGAGTGACGTGCAGTTTCGTGGTCACTTGGAAGAGAAGGCCAAATTGGCCTCTAAAAAGCTTGGCGTGCTCAGCAGAGCGGGACAGTATTTCATGCCAGCTCAACGCCTGTAACTTTACAAGGCGCAGGTTCGGCCTCACATGGAATACTGTTCCCGTCTCTGGGCTGGGGCTCCCCAGTGCCAGCTCCTACCACTTGACCGCGTCCAGCGCAGAGCGGCTCGAATCGTCGACAACCGAGTCCTTTCCGATCGGCTCGACTCATTGGCACTGCGAAGAGACGTTGCATCTCTTTGCATTTTCTTTCGCATTTACCATGGGGAGTGTTGTGAGGAATTGTTCGGATTAATCCCAGCCGCCAAATTTCACGAACGCACATCGCGGCAGAACTCTCGATACCATCCACACCATCTGGATGATTGGCGGTCCACCACTGTGCGATTTAGAAGATGTAAAAGGCCGGCAACGCATCTGCAATTCCCCTGGTGTTGCGGTTGTTCATGGGCGGCGGTAGTCACTTACCATCAGGTGAGCCGCATGCTCGTTTGCCCCCTCTCCTATAAAAAAAATAAACTTGCCAAGCGTGGAAACTATGGCAAAAATCCCCTCTGTGAGGCAAACTATGGGAGAGGGCTATGTTCAGCAGTGGACTTTAATAGGCTGTAACATTAACGGTCATGTGATCCTAGAGATGAAGAAGCACTTGAAGTTTTTCTTTTTTATTGGAGCAGTAGACGTCAAAGAAAAAATAAATTACCGACTTCATCCATTCATTGATGGAAATATAAATTATAGAGCTTTTGTTACTGCACGAGAACTACAAGATGACAGATTTTTTTTATAATTTTAAAGAAATGTTACGTGTTACGTGTTTTACGTTACGTGTTACGTGCATTTTGTTAAATTGTCTAGAATCTAGGCCCAGTGCTACAGTCTCGAGGCCTGGTCGAGGACTACAATTGACTACAAGAACAGTGCGCCCCCATTGCCAGAGGGTAGGTCAACCCGTCAGCAAACTGGCGGTGGTCAGTAATAGTATGCGAAATTTTATACTTAATTTATATTAATATGAACTACATAATGTATTGTACATTATTTAATAAATCGATTTACGTATTGTCGACATTTGCTATTCATAAAAAAAATACAACTTGTTAGAAATTGTTTTTCCGCCCGCCATTTTGAATCGATCCGTTGGAAACGCAACGCACAGGTGACCGACAAATATCGCGAGACTACTCGAGTTCGCGTAGGACAACGGTAGCGAAGTGTTATGTCACTATTAAATACGATGTGAATGTGATACTCTGTAGCCACTAACCCTTGAAATTCGTGTAGAATACGTCTGTAATTATCTGTAAGTATTAATCTATAAATAAAATATGAAGGACCTAAGACTTCATGAAATCGTCGTTCAAATCTTTCAGGGAAAACGTTAGTTGCCTTACACTCTATTCTTCTATTATTCAGTTGTGGTTTTACAAAGCCGATAAGAAAGAACACCGGAACAAATCAATGTTATTTTTAGTTTTATAAAACACAAAATAGACGTAACTTACTTAAAAGGCAGCTTTCCGAGCAGTCGTTGCCCGAAGAAAACCATCCTCGCCACCCAAAAGAATAGAATGTCGTGACCGGTCTCCAATAATGATCCTGGGTAAAAAGCCTAAAAAAAAAATAAAGTTCAAGTAAGTAACACTCAAGAAATGAGTGGAGCACAGAGTGCAGAGTTGGCACGTGGAATGTTAGAGGAGGCATGAGAGATAAGACGAATGAGTTGATCGAAATAATGAAAAAAAGAGAATTAGATGTCGTGTGTATGTCGGAGACCAAACGGAAGGGCAGTGGTACTGAAGAGCTCCCTGGCGGGGCGTTAGCTCTATGGTCAGGAGTCCCGGAGAGCGAGAACGCCTGCCAGGGAGTGGGGGTGCTGCTGTCTTCTCGGTTGGTCGATGTTATGACTGAATATAAGGTTGTGAACTCAAGACTTCTCTGGGTTCGCTTTAAATTGGGACTGACGAAGTTATTCCTTTTGACTGTTTATGCGCCGGTAGCTTCGTCGTCCAGGGCTGAGCTGGAGGAGTTTTGGGAGAATGTAAGAGAAGTTCTAGATTTGGCTAGGGGAAACGAAAGAATTGTTGTATGTGGTGATTTGAATGGATGGGTTGGTACCGCTCGACCAGGGTACGAGTCGGTACTTGGAAAGTTTGGCGATAAAAGGGTTAATGATGCTGGCAAGCTTATACTGGCGGTGTGCAAGGAAAACGGTCTTCTTGTGACAAACACTATGTTTAATCACAAGAAAATCCATATGTATACTAGAGAACGAAAGAATGAGAGAAGTATGATTGATTTGTTCCTGGTGGATGACCGACTGCGAAAACAGGTGATGGATACGCAAGTGTTCAAGTGTGCTGACCTGGGAACGGATCACTATCTAGTGATTACTAGATTTAGGGGTCTGTTCGCGGGTTGGCGCTACCGGACGGCAGTAACAGAACCACAGTCGGTCTGTCGCATTCGAAGCTGGAAGCTTCAGGAAGCGCATACTAGGGACAAATATCATGCGAGGGTAGCCGAAAAGCTTGACACCATCGATGGCAGAAAAGAATATGTAGAAAGAACTTGGCAGAACCTTAGGGATGGAATGGTAAGTGCAGCGGAAGAAGTGTGCGGAACAATAAAAAGAGGCAGTAGTAAAAGAAGAGATGCATGGTGGAATGATGAAGTGAAAGAAGCTGTAAAGAAGAAGAAGAAAGCATGGTTAGACTACTTGGCCTCTAGTAATGATAAGGATATGAGAGAGAAGATGAAAGAAAAATATAGGCTGCAGAAAGTTCACACGAAAGCACTGATTGAGTAAGTGCGTGAAAGGTGTAGAATGGAAGCGGACGAAAGGTTGTCGCACAACTTTAAGGAGAACTCCAAACTCTTCTGGAAAGAGGTTGGAAGGACCCGAAGTGGTGCGACGGCCTTAAGAATGAACAAAGTGCTTTCGAGAACTAATGACGTCCTCTCAGAAAAATCGGACGTCATGCAGCGATGGAGCGAATTTTATAGAGAAATGTATGCGTGTGATGATCTTAGTGAGGGATCCGGGGATGACGCCGTGACTGGTACGCCAGACCCGGACCTCGATGACACTGAGGTCATCAGGATGAAAGAGATTGAACGTGCGATTCGAAGTTTGAAATGTGGTAAGGCTGCGGGACTAGACAGAGTTACTGCTGAAATGGTCAAGTATGGTGGGCCTCGCGTCTGGGACAGCTTTCATCTGCTGTGCAATTTGTGCTGGCGGACGGGGGATGTCCCGGATGATTGGCGATCCGCAGTCATTGTGCCTTTATATAAAGGTAAAGGTTCACATTTTGACTGCGGGTGCTATCGGGCGATCAGCTTGACCAGTTTAGCAAGTAAGGTTTACTCGAAGGTTTTGACACGTAGGATGCAAGAGAAATCGGAAAGATTTCTATGGGAGGCACAATGCGGATTTAGACCTGGAAGAGGATGCACGGATCAAATGTTTTCTCTCCGCATGATCACGGAGAAGCTTCTGGCTGCTAACCAGAAGATTTTCTGTGCTTTTGTGGATCTTGAGAAAGCATTTGATAAGGTTGTAAGGAAGAAAATGTGGGAACTGTTGCCGGGGTATGGTGTGGATGGTCGATTGCTAAGGGCTGTGCAGTCTCTTTACTGTGACTGTAAAGCCTGTGTGCGGGTAGGACATGACCTGTCACCCATGTTTAACGTCCAAACGGGCGTAAAGCAGGGTTGTGTCATGTCTTCCTGGCTGTTCATACTGTATCTCGACAGCTGTTTACAGAAGCTGAAAGATAGTTGTTTGGGTGTGAAATTGGGTGACATTAAAGTAAATTGTCTGCTGTATGCTGATGATGCAGTGCTTATTGCACCATCAGAGGCAGAACTGCAGGCATTAGTCACGTGTATGAAAGAGGAATGTGAAATTAAAGGTCTCCGTTTGAATGCTAATAAAACTAAGGTTCTGGTATTTGAAAGGGACGAAGAGAGAACGAAGTGTGAAATATAGGTAAATCAGGAATGTCTAGAACAGGTAAATGAAATTGTATACTTGGGGAGTGCTTTTAGCCGGGATGGAAGATGTGATTTAGATGTGGACAGGCGTGTCGCTGCCGGGAACAAAGTCAATGGTGCCCTGACTGCGTTAGTCAAAAGGCAAGGCGTAGCGAAGAGTGCACGCCTTGCAATACATAACGCAGTGTTGGTACCGACTTTGTTATATGGCAGCGAAACCTGGGTATGCCAGAAGAAGCATAAAAGTAAGTTGAATGCAGTGGAGATGCGATCTCTTCGTAAAATGTGCGGCGTTACCATGGCCGACCGAAAGCGAAACGAAGAGATTCGCAATATGGCAGGTTTGAAAGATGACCTTATCACAAAAATTGATAAGGGCGTGCTTCGGTGGTTTGGGCACGTTGAGCGAATGAGTGAAGACCGAATGGTGAAGAAAATATATAGCGCGAAAGTTAATATTAAAAGGTGTCGAGGTAGACCGAGACTAACCTTCGAAGGCCATGTGAGCAAATTGCTCGAAGAGGGTAGGGTCAAAAGTACTCGGATACCTAGACGAGCATGCATGAAGAAGATAATGAATCTGAAAGAAGCGAAAGAGGTTTGTAAGGATCGTGACACTTGGCGATCTGTTCTCTCTGGCTACCCCGTCAGGGATTGTGCGTGAAGATAAGTTTAAGTTTAAGTTTAAGAAGAAATCATTGTTTACGTTTCTTTCTATATAATATCATCATCATTACACTAACTATGAATAAATACTTCTGTTAACAATATAAACGACATGGATGATTCATGTAACAAGTGTTGTCTTTAATAGATGATCAGGCATCAATTTTTAAATGCATGTTTATTTTGGGATTAGATTTTATGCACAGTTATAATTCTCCTTAGTGAATTTATATTAAAAACTTAGACTAAGTAATTTTAATACCTACATAATATTTCGATAAAAATAATATCTTTTAATATAATACAGAATTGTATGTTCATCATTGTAGGGAGGATGGAGGCCTTAGTCGTCACGGTTGGCATTGATTGACGATTGCAGTACCAGAGATGTCGCACATTTGACGCCAATCTAAATATTAGCATTAAATTATTTTTTAGAACTTATAACAATACTTTTTACTTATTGCAACATTGATATTGCGGTCCTGTATCACAACACACATCTTTACCTTTAAGTCATCCGTCTGATCCGGCCATCCGAATATCGAGAAGGGAAATAGACCAGAGGAGAACCAAGTGTCCAACACATCTTCGTCCCTCTTCAAAGTTATTTGTTCACTCGACACTCCGAACTTGGCCGATGCCTTTGCGAGCGCCTCTTCCTCTGAATGAGCAGCGACCCATAGTTCTTCTTCTTTCTATAAACAGAATACAGAATTGAGAAAGAGTTATATTAAATGAAAATAAACAGCCTATATAACTTCTATCCTAGGCACGGACCTCCTTGTATTACTGAGAGGGTTTTAAAACAAGAAAATGTCCACCGCGCTGCCTCAATACGTGTTGGCGGACTTGAAGTCTTCGGATTTTTTTTTTAATTTCTAAAAAGTGCCGGTTTTGCGCATGAAGTTTTCTTCACCGCCGAACACGTGGCAATTGCAACTAACAATTGAATCGGTGCCGGCGAGGATCGAACCTGCTTGCATACGGTGAAATTTACAGCGAGCTCTTACTCCCCTTTTTTATTCTCTAGGTTCTTTTAAATTATAAACGTTTTGATTATATGACTAAGGCTCAATTTACATTGCGGCTGAATGGAATGGAAGCGAATTTTTTAAAGAAATTGTACATAGTAAAATGAATTTTATGTTGTGTAACGTGCAAACTAGATATGATAAAAGAAGTCGCGCGTCTTCCGTGGAATTCTCGAATATTCCACGGAAGACGCGCGACTTCTTTTTTTAGTTTATATCTACTTTGCACGTTACGCAATTAACATAAAATTAATTTTACTATGTATAATATAATTCGCTTCCATTCCATTCCGCCGTAATGTAAATTGAGCCTTAATTTCAATATCCTAAAAAATATATTAGGGGCAATTACGCAATATCACTAATAAATATCTAAACTAAACATTTTACATGGCAATAATTTTACTTGGCACTTTCTCACCGATTTACACGCTTTAGCTTAGAGGTTAGTGCAAAGACGATAATGTGACATTCCGAAATACATTTGTCTAACACATATACACACTTAAAAATCTATATTGAAAATAAAACGAAGCATGCTAAAGGTACACGTATAAATATTTAAAAAAAAATCACAAACATTTTCCTACAATAACGATAAATAAAAATGCAAGTTGGTCAAATTTTATTAAAATTAATTAGAAATTAACTGTTTAATAGTAAAACTGTTTCTAACAAACAACTAACAAATCACAAACAATATAAACAAAAACTACAGACTACGTAAAAGTTTATAATCAGTGCAAGCGCATTAAAATTATATTATGTTAAATGAACTACTAGCCGTCTGTCTGACGTTACCTCTCTCGAGCTTTAGTCGCACCTCAAACGCCGTCTGTTTCGTTTTTGTTTTATAATACATACATACATAACACCACCCCTGTCACCCAGAGGGGTAGGCAGAGACTGGATATGGACTTCCATTTGGCATGATCCTGACACACATCTCTCGTCTCCTCCACATACATGCTCGTCGGTTAAGGGTACCGTTATAATACTCGTGATGTAACAAAAGCTCGTACTCATTGGCGTGCTCAAGAGTCTCATACGGAGAGTGTATATAAGTCTCTTTATATTAGTCTAGCTGTGCGATTCCTTTTCTGCTAGCAGCAGTCTTTGGGCTTAAATGGTATGGGAAACCAATACTTTTTTTATTTCTATCTAAGTATTTTTTTATATAAGGCAATATACCCCCCATGAGCAATGATAATAATAAACGGCCCCCAGTCCCAGGCGGCCCCGTTATTCCTGGCTACAGTGGCGACCATGGTAACGGCGGGGCAGGGGGTGCTAAGAATCTCCGGTGGAGGTTCGGTTGCCACCTTAGACGACTCGACCTGGCAACATACAACGCACGAACCCTGAGGACTGACGAGAAGATTGTGGAGCTGGAAGAAGAGATAGACAAGTTACGCTGGCATATTATAGGATTATCTGAAGTCCGAAGAGAGGGGGAGGACACGGTAATCCTCGAATCCGGCAACTTGCTCTATTACCGGGAGGGCGACCATCTATCCCAAGGAGGTGTCGGATTTATCGTCCACAAGTCTCTCGTTAACAACGTTGTAAAGATTGAGAGTGTGTCGACGAGGGTTGCGTACCTTATACTCAGAATCACCAAACGGTATTCGCTGAAGGTCAGGCAGGTTTACGCACCAACTTCGGCACACTCCGATCAGGAGGTGGAGGAAATGTATGAGGATATCTCTAGAGCCATGCATTCCTCCAAAACCCAATATACGGTGTTAATGGGAGACTTCAATGCAAAACTAGGCACAAGAGAGAACGGTGAGCTGAAAGTGGGGAAATTTGGAATAGGGCAACGGAACCCAAGGGGCCAGCAGTTGGCCGACTTCATGGAGAAAGAGGGACTCTTTATGATGAACTCTTTCTTCCAGAAGCGGCCCCACAGGAAGTGGACCTGGTCGAGCCCCGACGGTTCGACAAAAAATGAGATTGACTTCATTATGACGACCAGACGACAACTGTTCAGTGATGTCTCAGTGATCGCGAGGGTGAAAACCGGCAGCGATCACCGAATGGTTAGAGGCACACTGAACCTAAACGTTAAGTTGGAGAGGTCTCGTCTAATGAAGTCAACGCTCCGTCCCCCTCGTGCTCTAATCCAAAGTCCCGAAACCTTTCAGCTCGAGTTACAAAACCGTTTTCAGTGCCTAGAAGACTGCAATGAAGTGGACGATTTGAATGACAAGCTCGTGGAAACTGTCCATGCGGTCGGAGCTAAGTTCTGCAAGACCCGCCGCAGAAGAACACAAAAACTCTCCGATCACACTCTTAATCTCATGGCTGTTAGACGGGAGGTGAAGCTACATTCTTCAACAGATTTAACAGCATACAGGCAACTGAACAGACAGATCTCCAAATGCATGCGGCGGGACTTAGGCAAATTCAATACAGCTCGTATTGAAGAAGCGATCGAGCGGAACCAAGGCTTCAAAGTCTTTGCCAGAGATCTGTCTGCCAGAAAGCGCCAACTGTCAAAGCTGAAGACAGAATGCGGCAGCATCGTTTCCGGGGCACCGGAGATTTTGAGTGAGATTGAGAGGTTCTATGGGCAGCTGTACACGTCATCGTTGGAGCCGCACGCAAGTGTGAGTAACGATCCAAGAGCGAGTCTTATCCGACATTATTCCGATGATATCTCGGACGTCAGTCTGAGCGAGATTAGAATGGCTCTCCAGCACCTTAAAAACGGTAAGGCCCCAGGCGAGGATAGAATTACAGCGGAGCTTCTGAAAGTGGGTGGAAAACCGGTACTTGAAGTCCTTCAGAAGCTCTTTAATTCCGTCCTCCATGGTGGCATTACACCGGAGTTGTGGAGCAGAAGTGCGGTGGTCTTGTTCTTCAAGAAAGGCGACAACGCTCTCTTGAAGAACTACAGACCGATTTCCCTTCTGAGCCGCGTCTACGTGCTGTTTTCGAGAGTCATTACGAATCGTCTCGCGCGCAGACTTGACGACTTCCAGCCTCCCGAACAAGCCGGTTTCCGAAAAGGCTTTAGCACCATAGACCACATACATACCCTTCGGCAAATTGTACAGAAGTCCGAGGAGTACAATTTGCCACTATGTCTGGCGTATGTGGACTATGAGAAAGCCTTTGATTCCGTCGAAATTTGGGCGGTGCTGCAGTCCCTTCAGCGATGCCAAGTTGACTGTCGGTATATCGAAGTGTTGAAGTGCTTGTACAGTAGGGCTACGATGGCTATCCGAGTACAGAACCAGAGTACGAAACCTATCCAATTCCATAGAGGTGTAAGACAGGGTGACGTCATATCCCCGAAACTCTTTACCGCTGCATTGGAAGATGTTTTCAAGCTTCTGGACTGGAAAAGATACGGTATCAACATCAATGGCGAGTACATCACTCACCTTCGATTTGCCGACGATATAGTCCTTATGGCAGAATCGCTGGAGGACCTAAGCACTATGCTCAATGACCTCAATAGTGTTTCCCAACGGATAGGTCTTAAGATGAACATGGACAAAACAAAGATCATGTTTAATGTCCATGTCACACCTATGCCGGTAGTTGTTGGGAACACTAAGCTCGAAGTTGTTGACGAGTATGTTTACCTGGGACAAATAGTCCGACTAGGTAAGTCCAACTTCGACCGAGAGGTCAATCGACGGATTCAACTCGGTTGGGCAGCGTTCAGGAAATTACGGCACATCTTCTCGTCAGGTATACCTCAAAACTTGAAAACGAGACTGTACACCCAGTGCGTGTTGCCAGTGATGACATACGGAACTGAGACGTGGTCCTTCACTGCTGGCCAGATGAGGAAGCTCAAGGTCGCTCAGCGAGCTATGGAGAGGGCTATGCTCGGAGTTTCTCTGCGTGATAAACTCAGAAATGAGGATATCCGCAGTAGAACTAGAGTGATCGACATAGCCCAACGGATTAGTAAGCTGAAGTGGCAATGGGCTGGCCATATAGCTCGAAGAACCGACAACCGATGGGGAAAAAAGGTTCTCGAGTGGCAGCCTCGTACCGGCAGGCGAAGTGTAGGGCGTCTCCCCACTAGATGGAGTGACGACCTGGTAAGATATGCAGGAAGTCGATGGATGCAGGTGGCTCAGGACCGTGCTTTGTGGCATTCTTTGGGGGAGGCCTATGTTCAGCAGTGGACTTGTGAAGGGCTGTAATGAAGTATTTTTTTTAAACTGAAGTGACAAACGAATTTACAGTCCACCTGATTGTAAGCGGTTTCTGCAGTCCATGGACACATGCAGTCAACTACAAACAAAGAATACTGCAGATGCGTTTTCACTTGAGGACTAAGATGGAATGCTTCACCGTCTGTCTTTACCCATCAGTCTGGAACAAGCTGCTGTTTAGTGGTAGAAATAGGTTAGAAGCTAATAATCTAACCGGACGGAATCCTAGGCAGACGAGTCTTACCAATAGCACGCTGTTCACAGCTGTAGTGTGTATTTGAGAATTCCACGGAAGACGCGCGACTTCTTTTATCATATCTAGTTTGCATGTTAAGCAATTAACATAAAATTCATTTTACTATGTACAATTTATTATATTTACGTCTGTTTTAAGCGTGCTTCGTCGAATTGTGATTTTGTTTATAAAATTATTATATGACAAATCTGAATTATGATTTCTTATATTTACGCGTACACTACACATTAAATGAAATGTTGTCTGCATGGAAGACTGCAGTCTGTGAACATGTTCAAGATTCACGAGCCCGCCATTGTATTAGATTTGATAGACCAAAAATCCTCGCAAAAGAACACCGATTCCTATCAAGGATAATTCACGAGGCTATTGAAATTTAAAAAAAAAACATCCTAATTTCAATAGAGAAGATGACTGGGTGCTACCATCTGCTTGGGATCCTATAATTAATAAAATTAAATCTAAACCCAAGCATACCACTGCAAGAATTCAAGATACTGTAAGCTCATTCTGCGTAGATCGGACCAAAAATTAATATTCAAAAACTGAAGTTAGCCGGGCTAACACCTCAGTCCCTATAAAGCACCCGAAACGCCGGGAATCAAAAATTTTAAAATAATCGCGATAAAAATTATATAATGTCAAAAGTCATTATATAATGCTTTAGTAAGAAGCAATCTAGAAACCAGTGCTATCATCTGCAGTCCTTATGAAACCAAGTATAACCTCATGCTGGAGAAAATACAGAATAAGTTTACGCGGTACCTCTATTTAAAGCAATACGGGGTGTACCCTTTTTATCCTCTTATGTATTACAACCCTTTTTGTAATAGGAATGGTTGGATATTATAAGTTGGAGGTTAGACGGAACTTTGCGCTACTTAAGTACATATACTTGATATTACGTGGTAGATTAAACAATCCGGAAATTTTGGAATCACTGCGGTTCCTCGTGCCTAATTCTAGGCTGCGACGGGGGCTGAGGAGAGGGTTGCTGGACGTACCAGTTGCTCGTACAAATATCTTAAAGTACGCACCGGTTGTTCGTGCAGCTAGAATGCTTAACATCGTAGCACAACGATTAGACATATTTAATTGTAATTGTATAAAGGAGTGGAGCCTAATGCACATTGTTGCATTAGGCTCCACTCCTGTAATAACAATTGTGAGTTAGTAAATAAATAAATAAATAAAATCTGTACAATTTGTTTCATTTAAAATGTTTGAATTTTAAAAAAATAATAACAGACTGATGAACGTTGTTTACAGAAATTTATTTAACTCAAGCTTTTACCCTCGACTTCGTGTGCGTGGAACTAAAAACATTCTCAACATCTGTAATAGTTATTTCGTTTTCCGAGACCGTTTGAAGAAAACGATTTTCCGAAATAATAGCAGATAATTAGACAGTAAAAACCCGATCCGATTGGAAAAAAAATTAAAAAACCAATTTAAATTGAGTTTTTTCATAGGTCACTTTATCCTTTATCACGTTCGATTACTTTAGACTAATAGTTTTGATGTAAAAATGTAAAAAAATCAATTTCTAATCAATACTATAAGATATAAAAGATAGAAGATAAAGTGACTTTGTGTAAAATTGCAATCCAAAAAAGTTATATTCGGCGTTTATTATATCAGTCATGATGAAGCCCTAGATGGAAAATCGCACTGTCTTAGCGTGACAAATACATATCTAATCGGTCTGAAAGACAGGCGTCAGTAGTTTGTTCCACTCATTTGCTGTAAGCACAACGAAAGACCAAGCAAACCGTTTGGTTCGAATGCGTAAATTATCAACAATAATGGAGTGAAGAACTGCTGATCGCCTGATTGGCCGATATTTTAAAAAGAAGGTATTGAGGAATTAAGAATTTGTTAAACAAGAAATAAAAATTAAGAATCAAATTCTTAACTACAATTTCATAGCCGTTTCATAACGTCACTTGATCAAATTTAACGAAAAACACTCTTAATGAAAACACTTTAAGGTTCAACTTTCAACGTACTTTGACAAAAAGCGTTAAACAAAGGCAAATGAAAGAAAAAACACGTATAAAAATAAACGAGCATGCAATAAAGGCACGATGTGTACTTCCACGTGCACGTACGCGAGTGGTGTTTTGGGGCGGAGGCCTACGCGGTTTCGCGCGGCTCTTCTTGCGTCCGGAGCGCGTGCGACGTCGTCGCGACAAAGTGTTCACTTGGACTTCGCCCTGCGACTGAACATTCAACACCACATAAACCACTCAATGAGCCCGTTTGGCCTGTCTTCGTAACAGCCTATAAAAGTCCACTGCTGAATATAGACATCACCCATAGATTGCATCTTAGGGGGGATTTTATCAAAGTTGCTAGGCTTGTTGGCTTGGCAACCACAGTTTTCCATTATTTTGATTTGTTATCAGAAAGGTGATGCTGCACATCTCTTGTTGCAGTTTCCATCTGTCGCTTCTTACGACACCCAAAGGAAGATATGGTCTAGTCACTAGACCAGACCAGTCACAGACTAGACTCTAGTGGATATTCTCACATCGTTGCTACACGGCTAGCTTAAATAAAATATTTTTTTAAAGTGACCTAAATTAAATCTCCATTTTGTTTTTTTTAATGTTTTTTTAAATGTTTTTTTAAATGGAAGTGATAAGCAAACTAACAGTACATTGTGTAAACTGGCAATCAATTTCAAAAAAAGAAGGCGACAGATGTGTTGTCAACCATGACATTTAATATGGAACGACTTGCAGAAATAATTAAGAGAGTGGCATTAGATGTATATAGGAAGAGGAATGGGTAGTTCGGTTCTTCTGAAAAACTTGCAGCCCCTCTAAAAACTTGATCGACTCTAACAACATTCAAGATCTGCCATAGTTACCACGCTTGGCAGGCAGCTGCAGTTTTTATATTTTCTAGTTGAAATAATGAAGAGGCTACTGTCCATCTCCTGGTTTCCTTCTATCGCATCTTACGAGACCTACAGGACCTTATAGTTAGTAGATACCACACAGTTTAAAATATGCCCTTATGTATCAATCTATGAGAAGGAATCTTGTTACATGACGGCCGCCCGCGGGTATTGCCAAGTAAATTTCCCCAAATCATTTTTTTTTGGGTAATTTTGAATAGGGCATTAGCATGAACAGAATTATATCACAATACCTAAAATCACCATCACGGAATGTTTTTTTTTACATATTGTGAAAACTATACAGCACTAAAAAGCCGAGCCTTACCTCAGCTGCGGGCAATGTGACTCTGTATGCCGGGATGCGGTGTCCCCACCACAGCTGCCTCGAAATGCACCAGTCGCGAATGTTCTCCATCCAGTGGTACCAGATCTTCTCGTGAACATCCGGTATTATCTTCAACTCGCCCGTCTTCACAGCCTTGATAGCCTCCGCGGCCATCGTATCGCACTTTATATACCTGAGGTAATCAATTTTCTATCAGTTCTCACTTCGTATTTTTAACCACCGACGAAAACAGTTAGTTCGTAGTGTGTGTCTGTGTATCTGCGTATCTGTGTATCTGCGTTTCTGTTTATCTGTGTATCTACGTTTCTGTGTATCTGCGTATCTGTGTAACTGCGTATCTGTGTATCTGTGTATCTACGTAACTGCGTATCTGTGTATCTACGTATCTGTGTGTTTGTTCTGTGGCATCATAGCTCCTGAACGGCTGAATCGATTTTGATTAAGTTTTTGTTCGCTTGTACGGTGTCATAATCGAATGTTCTTAGATACATGTTTTAAGAAAATCTATTCAAACGTTTGAAGCAACCACTTTTTTATTATTTTGTGTTGTCATCGGGAATATGCTGCTGCCCAACTCCTCCTTCATTTCCCTATGTTATCTCTCACGCTACTAGCGAGATGATACGCCTTCATTTAAGTCTATCTACTACGATAAGTTAAATTAAAAAATTACCATTGCGGTTTCAACATCGGCTCGACAACGTCTTTAGAGCGGCTGCAGAGCGGAACCACCATCGCGTGATCCTTCGTCTCTTTATACAGCTTCAACTGTTCTAGCGTTTTGATGATCTCGCGGCGCACGTGGAAACGTTTCTTGCCCTATTGAATAAAAAAAATCCTAAAATAACCTTATTTATGGGGAGGTGGCAACACACTAAAAATACTTACCTCTAAATAGAGAAAAAGAATTTTTGGCGGGAACTTAACAGCAAGCAGATTATTGCTCTTATTTTATCGTTTAATTAATGCTCTATTATGGATTTTCTACCGACTTCAAAAAGGAGGAGGTACTCCATTCGAATGTATGTTTTTTTATGTGTTACCTCATAACTGTTTACTGGGTGAACCGATTTCGATGATTCTTTTTTTATTTGAAAGCTGATGCTTCACATGTGGTCCCATATAAATTTGATCAAGGTGTGACTAGGGTATGCAATACCGGGATACCTGGATCCCGAAATACCTGGATTCCGCATGCATTTTGCGGGACTAATCTCGTACGAAAATATTACGGAATCCCGCTGGATTGGCGGGATTACAGAGAAGCATGGTCCATATGTGTTAATGTTCGCGCGGCGGCGCGTAAACTGAGCTAAGCGATGCGTGGTGCAGAGAAACAGTGTGAGGGCGCGGGGATTCCCCCGCCTTTGTTTGTGTACTTAATATTTTGCCAGTTACAACTGGTGATTATGACGTTACGCAGTGATTTTTTCATAGAATATTGATTTCTTTAGATAAATCTGAATAAACTGAGAAATTTCCAGGTTTTGTATTATTTAATGAATGACAATAATGTCGGAAAAAGTGTATAAAGACTTTTGTGGTATTATTCCTGTATGGAAGTACTTTTTGAAAGCCGAAGATTCACAAACCGCAAAATGTAAGTTGTGTAAATCAATAATTAAAACGACCGGACGTTCGACAAAAGGTTTACATGTGCATCTAAAGTCAAAACACAAAATTGACAAGGAAAGCGCATCAGACGGGAGCGGAAGTGTTGCAGCTTCTGCAACTGCGTCAACGTCCAGTTCCTCGACATCAACTCATTGTGAAGCTCAACCATCAACCTCGGCAAAGAAGCACAAAATCACTGACCATTTTCCAAGTGCAAACAGTGCTGTAGAAACGAGGGTATCACGCATGGTGTCAAAAGATGGTTTTCCATTCCGGGTTTTCTGCACCTCGTCGGATTTACGAGACCTTTTTAAAGCCGGGGGCTATAAGTTACCAAAATCGCCTAATTCTATCAAATTAATGGTTATGCATTTCGGCACGACTGTAAAAATTACCATTATTCGAGATCTCCTAAAGCTGAAAGAGAGCAACCACAGATTCACCCTCACATTCGACGAATGGACTTCAACGAGAAATAGGCGCTATTTAAACGTTAATGTTCACGCCTTGGCTAATGAAAAATCTATTTCTTGGAACTTAGGGCTGGTCCGGTTTTGCGGAAGTCTACCTGCAGAAACATGTATCACTGTTTTAAAAGAAAAATTATCAGAATACGAGCTATCTTTAGATAAGGATGTAATCTGTATTACCACAGATGGTGCCAAAGTCATGGTAAAAGTTGGGAAACTCATCAAACCCCATCAACAACTCTGTTATGCACATGGCATCCAATTGGCTGTTTTGGATGTTATTTATAAACAAAATACATCTTCACGTAGTGGCCACGAAGCATCAAATGAAGAAATGTCAGTGCGAAATGAGACAGTTAGTGAAAGAGCTGATGAGAATTGTGACAATGACTTGGAAAATGACGAAAATGACATTTTTGATTTGTCTTTTCCTACACCTACAAGTGAAATAAACCTGACTGTGGAATATGCAGAAGTTGTTAAGAAGGTACGAAAAGTAGTAAAACTATTTAAAAATTCGCCTACTAAAAACGATCTGCTGCAGACGTATATGACAAAAGACATGGGAAAAAATATTGCTTTATTGTTGGATTGTCAAACAAGGTGGTCAAGCCTGTGCGAAATGATAACAATATTCAACAAAATAAGATCGTGCGTATCGAAAACCCTGATTGACTTAGGTCTTGGTGCAAATCATGACTACGTTTTCACTGAACAGGAATATGATGTGCTAATGGATCTAGAACGAATATTACAGCCGGTAAAATTAGCAGTCGAAGTTTTGTGTAGACGTGAGTCTAATTTGATTACTGCGGAAACTACTTTGAGATTTATTATTAGCAAACTGATAAATATTAATAAACCGTTAGCCCGAAAACTTGTTGATTCGTTGAGGAAACGTATCTCAGAGCGGCGAACTGACTTGACAGCGGTTTTATTATACTTACATGATCCACATAAGTACGAAGAAGACAAAAGTCAATTTATTTATGATGAAACATTCAATCTACCTCCAAAGAGTGTAATACGCAAGGCCATCAAAAATATAGTAGAAAGGCTAGAGTACACAGGAAGCAATGCAGTAACCACTACTCCTGTTGATGATCCTTATGACGACATCCCTCTCTCTAATCTCGAGACGCAAACGGCAGCCGCAGCACCAATGTCTATTGAAAACGAACTCGAACTGACTTTGACTAGTATCAAAAGTCCTGGCTCAACAGCCCAGCCACCTAGATCTGGAAGTATGAGTAACCTTGAGGTTTTGATAAAGAAGGAAATGAACTATTTCGAGTCGGGTGGATTAAAAGGCACTTACCTTCAGTTCGCCTATAACGCACTTATGACTATTGTACCAACCAGCGTGGAAGCTGAGCGGGCTTTTTCAGCTGCTGGCTACCTTGTGTGCAATATCAGAAGCTGTTTAGCAGATGACACAATTAATACTTTAACTTTTTTAAGAAGCTACTTCCAAAATAATGTTTAATTATCACTGCAATTTATGTCATCATCTGTATGTCTAAAGTAATAAATAAAACATTTAAAATATACCAAAAGGCTTGTTTTATTTGGCTTCAAATTAAAACCATGGAAACGAAGTCTTTAATTTAGATTTCAGAGGTCTAGTTCCACCCTGCTGGATCCATCAAATACCTGGATCCAGCGGGACTAAGATGGTTCAATCCAGCAAATACCTGGATTGAAATTATCTTGCGGAATTGCATTCCCTAGGTGTGACCAATAGTTTTTGAGTTTGAATTTATAATAAAAGTCGGTTGTACAAAACTTTTAATGTTAAATTATGATGTGTTAAATTGTGGTGTTTTTGTGTATTAAATATATACATTTTTATACAAAGAATAGAGGTGACAAGCAAGCACACACTCCACTTGATGGTAAGTGGACGCCGTGGCCCAAAGACAACTACAACTATCATCAAATATGAATCAAAATCCTTTTGTTACCAGTAAAAAGGGTCTCAGATTTTCTACACTCAACATATGAAACACATTATTCTGCCGTTTCATGCTACCCGGTCGAGTTTACCCATTCGTGCTGCAGCTATGTTTAGCTAGCATAACTGCAACGTGGTTCTCTCATCTCTGCGAAATCTACTACATATCTGGGAAAGTGAACTATATTTAAAAATTGATACGTCACTGCAGTCAGGTTATGATGTTAACACTCACAGAGAAGGGTCCGCAGTTATCCAGCATGTTGCCCTCGTCATCAAAGATCGTGATGAAGGGCAGGTTATGCCGTTTCCCGATCTCGTAGTCGTTAGGGTCGTGAGCCGGCGTTATTTTAACCGCACCTAAAATATATATAAACTTTATAGGAGAATGCTAAGTGAGAGTAATAAGAGCATTCATGGATTTTATTGCCACCAGGGCGGCGCTACTTAAAAATGAGGTGAAAATATTTGACAGATTTCATGGCGGTGGAAGTTAATTTGCTAGAAAAAGGTAAGGGTTAATGTTTCTTTCTAAAATATTAGTTATATTATAAATCAATTAAATTGGAAATGGATAAACAAACTACGGATATTCCTTACTTAAGTATAAAAGTTAAAAATAGTGTTAAAAAAGTGCAAAAACTTAAAAAGCAAACCGCTGATGCATTGTTTTGTGAAATTACATACGCTAGAAACTGATAAACTTTAATTTTGAAATGCAAATTCTCAATTATAATGACATTGTGTAACAAATAACTTCACCTCAGTTCCAACTAGCGACATCTTCTGATTATTAGCCCTCGTTGGCTTTGTGTCGGCGCGAATACTAGTAACATTGCATCCCTGAGCAATTGATAGCTTCCGACAATATTCGGAAATTGTCGTCGAGGGTAATATGGCCAGGAGAACATCACTTCACTATTTTGCAATTAATAAGGAGAAAAGGATACAGTTTTATTTGTTTAAAGCACTCGAAACTTTGAAGAGGTAACAAAACCAATTGTTAAGATAGATAAACTCAAGTGCGTAAAAAAATTTACTCAAAAGAGAACAATTTTATAACCTATATTACTTCAACAACTACGATATCTGAAACATCCCGTATTATGTTAAGATCCATCAAACCATAGGCTACAGAGCATACTGAAGAAATTCAGCATTCTGTTATGCAAATTAAAATTAAATGCGATCGAATCCGAAAACTTAGTTTTATACAAATCTAGTAAAACCATCCGCCCCTCTGGGGACCTAGCATTGCATAAGTATGTGTGTATGAATGTAATAATTCTAACGTATCACCTGTCCCAAAGTTCATATCCACATATTCGTCAGCGATGACTGGCAACTTCCTTTTCAGAATCGGATGCACCAAATTTTTCCCGATTAAATGCTTATACCTGTGAAAGTTAAATTTAATAATCATTTCATGAAGATCACTACTATAACAGAGAGAAAAATCACAGTTCAACATCCCTGTGGAGAAGGTAACGAGAGGAGTAAATTTCTGGTCGCACACTTATACACCTAAACCACAGTCTAAGAAGAACATACAATCAGTCATCGCCTTTGATGTTGTCGGAAAAGCCGACATAAACCATAAAGTGCTACGATTGTCAGAACGGGAAGTAATAAAAACTGATTTTATTTTTATTTCACGTTTAAACAAATTCTTATATATGTGGAAACTGATGAAACTTTAATTCCTTATCTTTAAATGAGGACGACCCAAAGTTTTTACCGCACATGTAGTATGAAACACTTTAAATTATTTGCGTGACAGCACAACCCTAGCGGACAGTTCCCGAGCGACTGAAGGCCGCTCTGGAGCGCTCCGCCAGCGTCTCGGACCGCACTGCACCGTACAATTACCCCGTCTTGATGCCTTCGATGACCGATTGTTAGTTGCAAATGTGTACATTAGTGCATGTTTTTCAATAATTTGAGCATGTTTCATTTATATATTTCATATTTTCAATAAACAGAGCCAACAGTTACTGTGTCAATTGAGATGTATGCAGCGCTTCATCTATCTTTCTCTATTGGTCTGAGTATGCACAATAACATCACACACCTAGTATCCTCGGGATGAACAGCAACAGCCACGTCCCCCAGCATGGTCTCTACACGAGTAGTGGCCACAACCACCTCTTCCTCTGTACCCTCTGCTTTATATGCAAACAGCACCAAAACACCAAATTCGACCTGATGGAAAACATGCACATTAATAAAAATTAAATGCATATGTATTACCAATTTTCAAATACTTTAAGGCCAGTATACTTAAAAAATAAGACCAAATCAACATCACAAGAATATTTTACCAAGTACATTTTTTTTTTCAACTAAACGGTCCGCTCTGGTATTGCCTGATATGGATCTATTAATGAGGCATTATTTGGATTAAAGATAATCAAATACCAATTTTAAACGATATTTTTTCAAAATAATTAAAAATTAAAATTTTTGTATAATCAATTTCAATATAAATTATTTAGAATAACTCAAAAACTATTAGTCAAACCTTGATCAAATTTATATGGGATCACATGAGAAGCACCAGCTTTCAAATAAAAAAAGAATCATCGAAATCGGTTCACCCAGAAAAAAGTTATGGAGTAACACACAAAAAAAAAAAAAACAAACAGTCGAATTGAGTACCGTCTCCTTTTTGAAATCGGTATAAAATAAGTTTTTCATAAAAAAATATAGCCCAGATACCCGCTCGCATTGCTCTTTACCTGTTCTTAAAATTACAAAATTTTTGAAAATGATTAATTATGTTTTAAAAGCATGCAAATAACCCCAAGTATAATAGAAGCCAGCTATTTCAATTTTAAAGACAGACACTTCAATCTTATTTATATGTATAAATGTACGTATAGATAACAGCATACATGATTCACTAAGCTCTAACAATATTATTGCTTTAATAAAAAATCACTAGAAATACAACATACATTAACTATAAGAGCATTTAAAATAAAAAAAAATACTATGCAAATGACCATCTGTCACTTAAATAAACCGGTAGTTATTTATAATATTGTAAAGAGTTTAAGTATTTCCATAACCAAAATAGTAAAGAAATTAGAGAGAAACAACGAAGTTCGTAGGGTTTTTTGCGGGTAAAAGTAAAGCAGAACTTCTCTGCTGCTCCAAACCTGGGTAAGAATCCATGGCGATTTTTTCATGAAAAATATATAACCTAATCAGATAAATAAAAGCCTCCAAGTATTCCACAGATGGACATACTATTTAATTTTAAGGAGAAATAGAAAAGAATGCCCTGTGGTGGAGGTGTAAGAATACATCACCTCATTACATCTCATGTGTGTCGTAAGAGGCGACTATGTGTATTGTCAGAAAAATTGCATGGTTTCCGATGGACAACGGTACAACCATATCACTTACACCAGAAGTAAAATGCCCAGACCAGTGACAACTGCAGTGTCAAAGGTGCTAAACGTCAGGTACTGCAATCGTCAATCTGCAAACATGTCCAGTAGTAGATTTTTATTTGCTGATGAAGAAAAATAATACGAATGTCTTGCAGAATGTAAGTCACTTTAGATGCTCTATAATAATAGTTAGGCATATCCTAGAAATACTTTATTTATTCCAAGCACGTAAGGCTTCACCACAATGTTTTTTTTTTTTCACTTCTAACATGATTCAAATCAGCACTTACTAATTTAATTATGAATATAAAAACATGGTGTATGTCAAAGCTTAATTTAACAAAATAAATAACATAATAAATATAATTTAGCATTGTGCACCAACCTTTTGTTCATAACCAGGTATAGCTAACATAGTCCTACCCGTCAACTCCATCTTATCCACTTCAATATCTGAGATAGCACTCTTTAGTGTGCAAGACCAGTTAACTAAGCGGTTCGCTCGGTAAATATCGCCGGCGTCGTGGAGGCGTATGAAGGCCTCGTTCACAGCGCGACACATCGACGGATCCATTGTGAATCGAACTCGCGACCAGTCAAAAGACGAGCCTAAAGATCGGAGCTGGGAGTAGATACGATCTCCTTTTCTGTGGGAATAAACATTCTCAATCACACACTAGCGAAACCTCGTGACTTCACTCATTTGATACAATAATACAATTTTATGCTCGCAACTACAATAGAGCGTACCCAAGCCACGCAAAGCCCTTACAATCAAGTTTCATACATGCATAATGTGTGTGGCGAGTATGCAAAATATATCTTTCTCTCTAAATACCTAGCATTTCAAGGGTGCCTCAGCATCTGCGGATCATTTTATACTTTTATTTGTGTTTTAGGCGGATGAATATTTTTATGTGCAAAATTAAAGGGCTGTTTTATGACTTACTCATTCTTCCAATCCCACACGCGTTTAATGAACTCTTCTCTACCGAGATCATGCCTGGTTTTCTTCTCTTCCCTCCAAACCTTTTTCTCCACTACCACTTGGGTCGCAATACCTGCATGATCACAACCTGGATTCCATAGAGTAGTTCTGCCATTCATCCTAAAAAGTAGATATGTTATTATGCATACAGAGTGACAAGTAATACTTGCATGAGAAACAGTAAACTTAAAATAAAAAATAATACTTTACATTTAAGTAATTATTTTACGTTTAATTTAAAACAACGTATTGTACAGTGAGAACCCACAAATTTTACATATTTATGAAATTAGTTTTATATTGCTTTTATATAATTACAAAAAAAACTGTTTTATAGTGACTGTAATCAGTTCACTGTATATTGGGGCAAATCCCCATATTTTTAATTACCAAGAGCTAATGTGCAATTGATAAGCAGTTAAATGAAGTCAATAACTGATAATATTATCTTGTAACATTTTTAAATGTTAAATATGAGTTAACATAATTATAGTAAAAAAATATACTCGTACAAGGTTATTTTTCACTTAAGCAAATTAACCAAATTTTAAACTTAAGTTCAAATATATAAATAATAATATACCGCTATTTCAGTTTTTGAAAATACAAGTAAATAAGGCTTCTACTTTTCTTTGAAACTATCGCAAATTGAATGTGATTTCTGGGCAACAATGTTTTTGCCTACCTATCGATCCTTACGAATGTGTTTAAAAATCAGTTAAAATAATGCCTTACCACGCATTTTGAAATTTAAAAGATAAAAAGGGCAGAATTATTGAGATTTTTTAAATTAATTAATTTTTCTTCACCATTTGCCTATATCACTTCTCTGCAAATTTAGACAGATATTGAAAAATAACCCTGAATAATATAAACATGAAGTAGCTGGATACGACCATGCTTAGTCTTCGGGGGAGACCTATGAGTACATATATTTAGCAGGGGATTTGTAATAAACAACAACAATGATTTATGATCTGGTACTTACTCACCTGTGCCACCTGGTAATAGCATCCTCAACTGCATTGGTGAGTGCATGCCCAAGATGTAAAGTACCAGTGACATTGGGCGGTGGGATCACCATCACAAATTTGCCCTTAGGGTTAGGCTCTAATATAGATTTTCTCTGTAATATTCAAAAAATAAGTATAATAATAATAATTATATTTCACCAAGTATCATAACATAAATTTATTTTAATTAATATACTGATGTTTTGTATGGGTTTTAAAATGTTGCAAAATATTTTAGAGTATTATTCACAGTAGATGTTAATTTTGCAATAAAAATCTCCTTATTACAAGATACACAATATCAATCAAAATATTATCACTGTAACTCTCCACTTGACCCGCTGGGCTGATGAGAGGATCAAAACCTTTGTAAAATCATTTTGTATTGTGTGATATGTGATTTGCATTTTGTATTTTCAAATGGATATACTAGCATTTGTTGATCATCGGAATGTAATTGGTTACACAGCAGTGTGCACCACAAGTAATGAGTTGGCAGTAATAACCTTCTTACAATACTGTGTTTGTGTTTTCTATGGCAACCCAGGGATGCAAGGGTTTTTGGCTTGATTCCTTATCAAGATATAGCTCCCCAGTTTATGGTTCATGGATTGCATCTTACATAACCTGAATGTCATTGCCTTCTCCGCCCACTAAATATTGTCATTGTAATTATTTGCTTTAGATGTGGTGTACTATGATTATCAATTAGCTAAGAAAAATTATTCATGAATAAACATAATATTATTATAAATTTGGAGCACAATTTTTAGATTTGACATAAAAATTTCTAGTCAATTTTACAGTAATTTACTAGTGATAGTTGATTTAACTTACACAAAAAAAAAACTTACTCCATATTCAGGTTTGAAGAAACCTTGATTTTCCCACCATGAATACCAAGCTGCTTCAACATACTGTGGGCTGTAAGCATCAGGCATTGGCCCACTGATATCTTTTTTTTCCCCAGGTGCTGTTTTAGCAGAATACACTGCACTCTCTTTAGTCTCTTTGGCTTTTTTCTAAAGTAAAAAAAAAAAATGTTGAATCGTATTCATGATATATTTTGTTAGGCTAACCATAAGTGCTTTAACATCTGTACATACATCACCACTTACCATCAGACGACATAATAGTAAAGCACTTATAGCAGTCAGGTCTGGCAACTTTACCAATGGATGTTAACTTTGCCATCAGGGGTGTACTGGTACAAAATTACGATTAACAACGAAAACTTAACAGTTTTCGAGATAAGCCATGTTTTGGATGAAAATACAATAACTAATTGACCGAATTTTGGCATTTCATTTTAACGCGGCATTGTACCGGCGAAATAATCTTTTTATTTAGTGTTCCAGAACTTCAGTTTTTTTTTTCTGTTTGAAATACTGAATGCAGATATCTATATCTTTGTAGTAACGTAATATTAATGATTATCAAATGTAATATATTGTTTTCAACATGTTGGTCTTAACATTTATCTACAAAACTAACTTGGCAAAGTTACCATACTAGTGATGCCATGATGTGACGGTTACTTTGCCATGTTTTTTACAACCAAGGGTCATTTTCAACCTATATTTTTAACCGATTACAACTATTTAAGCAAAGTGTTCTGCACTTGACATTCTATGTTTGGATGTATGTTTGTATCAATGTTTCACTGTAGCAGCCCATTATTCATTATTATTTTTAATTTTTACTGCATTGTCGGGCATTAATAATGTTATTACTACTCAGTATTTTCCATAATTTCAACTTAGTGTATTGATATTAAGCAAAACATTAAATGTCATTTTTAATGATTGCTAATGTTTTGCTATTGTGAGAAAGCAATATTTGGATTGATGATAATAATGATGACCTGACATCATTTTATTATGACCCGTAATAAAATGGTGATGATGACTAATAAAAAAACAAATAGTTGTTAAAAATTAGTGTAATAAGGTTTTTTTTTAATTCTATATTATAATTGATTTAAGCTTATTATTGCACCAGTTTTATTTTTAATTTTAGAAGAGTATCGTGAATTTTGAAGCCATGTGCGTTCGTGAAACATGGCAGCGAGAATTAATCAAAAATATTCCTCAAAGCACTCCCCATGGTAGATTCGATAGAAAACGCAAAGGGATGCAACATCCTTACGCAGCGTAAGTGAATTAAGCCGATCAGAACTAATTCGGTTGTTGACGATTCGAACCGCTCCGAGCTGGATGCGGTCAAGTGGAAGGAGCTGGCACTGGGGAGCTCCTGCCCAGAAATGGGAACAGTATTCCATGTGAGGCCTTGTAAAGTTGCAAGTGATGTACCGGCATGAAATACTGTCTTGCTCTGCTGAGCAATCTAAGCTTTTTAAAGGCCAATTTGGCCTTCCTTTCCAAGTGACCACGAAACTCCACGCTATTCGATATGTTGACGCCGAGGATTCCCACGCTAGCTGGGAAGCAAGGGGAGGGCTTTGAAAATGATTAGATACGACAAAGGGGTTCTTTTTAGCGATAAATGCGCAAACTTCTGGGGATTGAACTGGACTAGATTTAGTCGCCTGTGCGACATTTTCCCGAGAAATATTGGCACGGTCGGTATATAAGGCATCACCAGTGCTGTTGTCTGCATAACAATGAATGTTACCAGTTTGCAACATATTGATATGCAGGAAAAACAGCATTGGTGATAGCAAGCAGCCATGTGGAAAACCAGCTTTGATAGGCTTGTAATCAGAGCATGCACTGTCTGCTACCTTGATACTCCAATCAGCAAGGAAACTGGTGATCCATTTGCACAATTTCTCAGGAAGCCTAGGAAGGGAGCTTCGAAAGATGCATTTTGTGCCGATCAAAGGCCTTCGCTATGTCCAAACTAATGGCCAATGCCTCCCCTTAGGATTCTACTGCCTCCGCCCATGTATGATCCTTGATTTAACAGTGGTAAGGGCCAGCTCAAACTGGGGTGGTACCACAACCTCAAAAAATACCAGCGTGAAGTAAAGGTTTACGTCTGCATTTTGCTTGGTGAGTGCAGGTGGCTTAGCTTTCCACTGACGTCCGTCGAGTTGGAAAAATCGATATTTTGTGAATCAATATATCAGCTTACGATTCGAATTGATTTAAAAATCGATCTTTTTCGGAAAGAATCGACATCCCTACTGACGATGACAGTGACAATACAAAATAGCATCAGTTTTACGGTAGGAATTGGCATAAATATTGCAAAAATAATTGATTTTCAATAATTTTTTTCTCAAAAAGTATGCGTTTCCGCATATTGAAACTTTGCGTGCGTGCTTATAATAATGTAACCTTTCTGTAGAAAACATATCAACACCCAACTCTACGGACGTCAATGGAAAGCTAAGCCCAAAACTGCTCAAGGCAAGCGGAGCAATAAGACCAAGGCGACCCCTGTCACGCTATCCGTGAATTACCTACTTCATTACCTTTCACTACCTCCCACAAGGTATTTTATTCTCACTTCAGATATAAAAAAAACCATTAATTAGCAACATAGTTATAAATAAAGTAAACAAGTTAGCAAGATATCAGACAAAATATCAAATTTATTATAAAATTTGTAACTATACCTCTGGCTTATCTTTTTGAACAGCTGGTACAGTACTTTTCTTGTCCAACTTAGCTTTTAACTTTTCTAATTTAGCCGCTTTCTTTGCTTCTTTTTCCAATTGCTTAGCAGTTTTCTCCTGTTGGTGGTCTCCTGGGCCATTCTGTCCTTCATTGTCAGTCATGGTATTAGAATTATAAAATCGAACGACGTGGTTGTGGTGAGGTACGGTATCTTTTCTTTTTATATGGGTTGTTAATTGATCGGTACTTGGTAATAATTAAATGCAATTTCCGTACTTAGTATAATAAATCCACAGAATATAATACAGTAAGCCCCAGAGGTATTTAAAATAATCTTTGAATACTACCAGCAATTATTAAAATATCATATAGTTCTCTACTTCAAGACAGTAGAGTAGACACGAAAATGACAGATTGATTGACACAAATGTCTACAAAACTACAAATGTCAATGTCCAAAAAGCAAAGTGACAATGACATTTGTTGTTGTTATGATTCGCCATTTAACACAGGCAATAGTCTTCCATCATACAGCCTATGTGTAAAATACTCACTGTTCTTTACAATAAGTTAGTAGATACGACACATAGCGAAGTTATTGGGACATATTGACAAGAGCTTGACCGAGCGTACTAACTGTATGTATAATGTTGTTTGGAAGTCTACAGTATGTCAACCCCGCCTAAGGGTATTAGTGTTATGTGGATATATAATGTCTAGCAGAAAAAATATGCTCCTTTTCATTCATTTGTTCACTAAATATATGGCGTATGATTTTGACAACAGTAAATTTTGTGAACAAAATTCTGCCGTCCGTCGATATGAATATGCAAGTTGCTTTAGGTGCTTTAACGGAATTAAATAAGTTTATGATAAAAAGTAGAACCCACGTAAATTTTGAGGAAATTGAAAATAATGCCATGAAAATTGCCGAAAAATTAGATGTCGAGGCTGAATTTTGCACTTCCAAATCCAGACCCCTAAGACGTCGTAAGACTCCAAAGAGTTTTGATTATGAACACGAAGACCATACTGTAAATGATCCGAAGACCGCTTTTAAAATTAATGTATTTTTTATATATTGGATCAAGCTTTATCCTCCGTAGACAAAAGATTTAATTTATTGAATAATCAAAATGAGGTGTTTAATTTTTTATTCAAACTAAGTGATGACCAAGATCAAAGTCGATTAAGAAGTAGCTGTCATCATTTGCAGAAAAAACTTTCTGTTAATGATTCATTGGATATTAACGCCGATTATTTGTGTGAAGAAATTGTGACGTGTCAGTCTCTTTTCAAAAAATTAAATAATGATGTGGTGAAAATTCTCGAATTTATTTATTAAAACAATTTGACAGCTGTTTGCCCTAACATTACGAATTTTACTAACTATGCCAGTTACCGTATCATACGCGGAAAGGTCCATTTCTAAATTAAATCTTATACAAAATTGCCTCCGCTCAACAATGAGCCAGGAAAGATATATATATATATATATATATATATATATATATATATATATATATATATATATATATATATATATAGTGGTGAATGACGGGCGAAATAAAATTATGAAGCACAAGTATAAACAAAAATATAGACCTGAGTGGGAACAAAATCCTGAGTATTCGTTATGGTTGACAAAGGATAAAAAAAAAGTGATAACGCCTTGTGTACAACATTTTTGAGCAGAATCGCAACAGTTAAAAGTCATGCAGAGTCTGAAAAACATAGGCAGAAATTTATATACTAGTATTAGTACATTTTTTGTATAATCCAGCATGTGTTCTGGTATTATTTAGTACTGGCAACATTATGATTTTAGTTGAATACCTTTTTTTAAAACGTTCATACTGATTTGATATTATAAAGGCGGCTACTGACCTGCCTGCCGCAGGGGCAATCTAGGGAGCACAGCGATCGGAGCAATATCGGAGCTGTCTCTACACACACGCCTGCCGTTCAGTATGAGAGTGTACGTCCACAGAACACTAATACCCTTAGGCGGAGTTGACATACTGTAGACTTCCCAACAACATTATACATACAGTTAGTACGCTTGGTCAAGCTCTTGTCAATATGTCCCAAAAACTTCGGTATGTGTCGGATCTCTCGCTAGAGTATGTTCCTTGGTTGACACGGCCTGTGTACGTTTCGCTGGACGCACGCGTTGGGAATGGGGCCAGTTTTATCGAAATATCAATGAATCAGTATATATAGCCTTGGCTCTTTTTTTTATATAGAATAAGGGTGACAAATAAGCACAATCCACCTGATGATAAGTGGACACTGTGGCCTATAGACACCCACATTTATCAATAAAACAACCAATTAATTAATAATTGCAACCATAATATAGTGCTTAGAAGCTGCAGCATAGCTCTGCCACGCTATTTTTAGGCTATCATAGACAATTAAATATGACTAACTTTACTCGTCATAATTTAATATAACCAATTAATTCTGTGATATAACTTAACTATCTAGTGCTTAGTAACTATAATTTAACTAGTGTTACAAATAGCCAGGATAGTTTTCTAATGATGGTTTCAATAAAATTTAATTACTAAAATTTGTATTTTTGTTTAAATATTTATATAATGACATTTTATTTATATTCCAGCAATTTTAATATTATTTGAATATTTATGATAAGTTAGGTAACAAATCCCAGTAATGTTACTTGTAAGTTACAACGATCAAATAACATTCTTTCTGCGGGTCTGACTTGTACTCATACGTGTGCTCCGCGCGAAAGTCACAACGAACTGATTGAAATTGCTCCAATTAGGCTACACCTAAGATGTTTTTAAAGGTATAGATACGTCATACTCGCTCTAAAATGGCAATACGAAAGTAAGGTCGCTCGCATTCCGTCGGGCACGCACTCGCGTCGCGACTATACCTTCGCTACAGCGCGTATATCTTCTAATTATTCGTGGCAAAAATGCCTTCCTGTATTTTTAAGTGGTGTACAAATTACACGGCAACTGTAAGAGACAAGAAAAACGTCTCATTTCATTCGTAAGTATAGTTTTTTTTATTAAAACATTAAATGTAATTTCATTTGACTGTTGTTTAACATGTGTAAGGTAAAGAGCGAGATGTAATCTGTTCTATGCGTGAGAGTGAAAGAGACAATGTTAGCGCGGTCTAATGGCGGCCGTTGCAAGGGGAAGTTGGGGAAAATTTTACCATCGCATTTATGTTTAATCCAGACCTAAAAATTAAATTTATTTCTTAAGGCGTCTATTCAATGGTGATGTGTGTATGCAAGCAGTTATATGCCTACCTTATTTTCTAATATTAAATACACTAATACAATACGTTCTAGAAAACAATGAAGCGAATAGATTATAATTTGTAATTTATTTCTGTCCATTTTAGATTACCTAAAGATGGATTAATGAAAGAAAAATGGTTAAAAGTAATTAGGAATCAAAGACATGAAAACGATTGGATGCCTACTACTTATTCTACAGTGTGCTCCAAGCATTTCCTAACAAGTGATGTTTATATTACAAAAAACAATTTACGAAGACTGAAAAAACAGCAGTTCCTGTAATTAAAGTAAGTCTCCAGCAATATGATAACATTGTGTAGTTTCTTAGTTTTTGCGTCACCTAAAGAATTTGTTTACACTCGGTATATCCAATGCTGAGATAACAGGTTTAGCTACAAACCTTACATCTGTACATCCAATATTTTTGGGTTTAGCATAATTTTGTAGTAGTATATTCGCAAGATGTGACGAAATTTTATTTTTGTTAACATAACTTTGTTAGCATCTTTTTAGATGGTTTCATATTTAACCTTTTCAGTCATTTTGTATGAACAAGTAAAAACAATTTTGGAATTTCAAAAAGTCATCATTTAAAAAGTTTTGCCGAATGACGAATACAATAGACGATTTCAATATTTTACAGGATTTCAGATTCACCACCTATGATGTAATATGTATCCAGATAATGTATTGATAACGAGATTTTATTTAAATTCTTTTTGTTTCAGAAAGAAGAACAAAATACCATATTATCATCACCGTCAAGTTTGCAAGGAGTTATTGTATCCGACGGGAATTCAATTTTTGATACCCCTCGAAAATCATTTTTGAAAACAAAACTTAGAAAATTTTCTCTAGAGAAACGCCGGCTCCAGTTAAACAATTACAATTTAATGAGGAAAAACAAAAGACTCAAAGAAAAGTGTAACAATTTAAAGCAAATTGTGTCAGAGCTCAAAAAGAAAAAATATTTTACAATGGATCAGATAAAAGAACTAAGTCTTAAAGCTGAAGCCGTTGATTTTACTAATAGATTGGTTCAGAAAAGCAAATTTAAAGGCTTTCGCCAAAAATTCACACCAGCATTACCAAAATTTGCAGTTACATTACATTATTATTTTGTAGCTGCTTATAAATATGTTAGAAATATATTTGATGGATGTTTGCCACATCCTCGTATCATAGGTAAATGGTATCAGAATACTTCTGGTGATCCTGGTTTTAACAAACAAGCTATGAACGTGCTAGAGAAAAAACACAAAATTAGTGGGCAAAGGATATTGTATACGTTAGTTGCTGACGAGATGGCTCTTCGTCACCAAACCACCTGGACTGGAAAGAAGACTGCAGGCATTGTAAATTACGGCGCGGGTTCTGCGAAATCATATGAAATAGCGACTCAAGCTTATATGTTTACATTAGTCTGCTTAAACGAAAGCTGGAAAATCCCTGTGGCATATTTTCTGGTGAATGGGTTGTCAGCAGAAACTCGGGCAAGTTTATTGAAAACATGTTTGAGTGAATGCTACCAAGTCGGGGTTGATATAGTTGCTATCACGTTCGATGGCTGTTCGTTAAATTTAAACGCAGCCAATTTATTACGTTGTAACTTAAATCGTCCGGGCAGTCTGAAAACAACTTTTAAACATCCTGATTGTGATTTGGAGGTGGCGATCATGCTTGATGCTTGCCACATGATTAAATTAGTTCGAAATACATTTGAAGCTAAATGACTTATATACGACACAAGTGGAAAACAGATACGTTGGCAGTTGCTTATTAATTTAGTAAAGCTTCAAGAAAACGTTGGACTGAATTTTGCGAACAAAATTACTCCTCGCCACATTCATTTCCGGAATGAGATAATGAAGGTAA